ATCACAAATGTCCATCCTAAATGGAAACATAACACTTTACACAATTTGTGGTTTAGAACAATTTATTGTTATCATTATCAAAACATTTTCTTTTGATTACTTTTAGATCTGAGCAAATTCTCTACTATTTTTACACTGGTTATTTCTTATGCAAGGGCTCTATCTGCTTGCTTGTCTGTCCTGCTTTCAAATTGCAATATTACTTTTGTTCTCCTTTCCATCTGGATGACTTAAACTAAGTTGTCAGCATGTTGCTAACATCTTGCCTGCAGTTGCCTCATGTGCTTGTACTAAACAGTGTGCACCTGTCTCAGGCCCAGTCTTGTTCCTGGCTGAAGATTTTCTAAAGTATTTGCTTCTCTAACTTCAAATGGCAAAAAGACTCCAGATGAAAACTTTTATTGATAGTCTTTAGTCAAAACCTCATCAATCCCTTTTGCCAGTAACCACCTGAAGGCATTCACAACATGTTTTAGACAACCATTTCATAGTTTATTTCTCTATGGCTGAAATCTCTCTGGACAGAAAATGTCCCTCACTAATAAACCAGTTCTGAATGTTCAACAACAGCATAACATCAAAACTACGTCAGCAGCAGAAATGGCCTTGATTACAGAAACTGAGAAAGAATTTATCCACATGTGAGCAGACAAGGGAGAATGTTTGGGACTGAAATCAAAAAGGGAGGGGGGCAGACCTGCATCACCCAGCACTGAACTCCCCTCCTTAATTAACTAATGTGTCTTCATTTGTCATAGCGTGACATTGCATGATTCTGAGGCAGTTTGCGATTGTTGGCCAGATTTTGAAAAGGGAAAACATCAGCACCCTCTACTGACAAGCAGAGCCTCACTACTCCAAAAGAGACTAATTGCATCCACTTAATTCACAACAAAGCACCTCCTAAGCTATTGCTATTGCTGTTGAGGTCTTAAGGCTGAGCTGATTTAACCAAATTTACAGTATTTCAATGTATTTGAATATTCTGGATAGGAGAGATTTGTTTAATATTATTTGGCAAATATGTCTTGAGGATACTTGGGACAACTTTTGCTTTAGAAGCATGAACGTTAAAAGGTTAGAGTTGCAAGTTTTATTACTGTTTGAACTGATAATATATTAGTATTATTTATTTGCTTGTTCATTGTTTTATTCTATTAACAAAGAGGCTAGACTGATAGAGACTAGTATACCTGAAGATAAGGACACTTCATTTTTTTTTTACATACATCCTTACTTTGGCTGCTTCAGCTTCTTATTTTCAAAACTTTGTTATATATTTGTTATTGTTAATTATATTATTATCTGAAATGTTCTCTTTTATATCATGCTAAAAATGTCATATGTTCATATTGCCCTGCCCTAATCTCTGTGAGGATTTATTTATTCTCCGAAGTGAATGACAAAATACAGTCTAAAGGCAGCGGTAAAGGTCTACATCAACAGAGAGATATTACGAGATAGGGGGCGCCTGGCTTTTTTCACTGTGTAACTGAACCTTCATCAGTATGTCACTGTCTCCACGGCTAAACAAATTAGTCCATTTGATTGATCAAAGTTTATACAAGAGCTGGGATTTGATTTCAAACAGAGGAGAGGGCGGCCCGAGCACAAGAGCGGGAGGGGTGAGGGGAAGGAAAAGGAGAAAGGCAGAGCAGCTGGATTGCCATGTAAATAGCTGTGCAGATAGGTAGGTTTGGGCTCACTGCCAGAGACTGTACAAAGGCCTCCTAACATCTGTTTGAGGGTAGATTCCTGCTCTGTTGTAGTAAGAATAATAGTGCGGCAGTGAGGACAGGATCATGATCATGCATACACTCTGTGGTCTGAGCTCTCACATCGGTCCCTCGCCTGTTATTGCACTTATTACAAGGCACATCTGTCGTCAGCTGGCACGGATACATGGACAGGTGGGGCTCGACTGTCATAAAGACACTTCTAGGATCCAGAAAAGCAGAGGGACTTAAACCCACTTTGGTACTTTTATGCTAGTGGTTGTACTGTACTGGTACTGTGCATATAACATGTGGAAAGACAGTTTTTAAGTGTGGGCAGCTTTGAAATGAAAACAGAAAAAACACAATTATCCACAGATAATTCACCTCCAACCCAAGACAAGGGGGTTATATTTGACTAAACTCTCCTCAGAAACCATATTGGGACATCTTTTAAAGTTTGTCATGACAAGAGTTTCTTTCCCCTCTGCTCACAACATATGCAAGCAATTTGTACAATAAATGTTGGTTTAAGGTTGTGTTCCTTGCATACTAGTGGCTTCATGAAAACCAGGAGGGCTCCATTTGTTAGTGCTTGAAAGTAAACCAAACAAATTAATTTACACTATCTTTACATGGGTTGGCCAAGGAAAGCAGGGACTGAAATGTTACACCATTACCTAAATTCACATGCATTTGTCTATGTCTTCTACCCCCTCCCCTGGCTGTGTCCCCTTCCCAGCCCTGCCCCAGTGCACAGGGCGCCCTTGAACAAGGCCGAGGGACCACCTGCGTGAAAGAGGAGACCCTCTCTGTTATGTCTCTGCAAGGGAATGAAATAACATGGAATCCAGCTCTGCAAATAACTCACAGTGAAGATCATTTTCCACATGCTGCTTGACAAAAGGTAAAATAAGAACAGATGATAGACTTTCTGCTCTCTGAACTTGTGGCTGTGTTTACCACTTTGTCCATTTGTCCAGTGGCAGTGGAGACCACAAACTTTATCTGGAACAACCCACACCTTGAATTGCTCACTTAATTGCAGAAACTGTGGGTTTGTTTTCTTTTAATTGTAGGTAAATAGCAATATGCTGTACAGAATTACATTCTTCTTCTTGAAAAATCTGTTTGCTGCATTCATATTTCTGGACCTCCTCTGTTCCAAAAATGTCAATTAAGGTAAATGCAATGCATATTCTTCCCATAGCAATGATCTGCTTTGTAATATGCAGTGATTGTTTAATTTAATTATATTTTAATGACTGACTGATCATGAACTTGATCTCATTAAGACGAGGTAAGTTGTTAGGCATATGCACTGCAGATATGCTGCTGAGATGCCTGGCAAAGCTCTCCAGTAATCACAGTTCAAAATGTACTTGCTCTATATTCATGACACAATCTGAGAGATAACACCTGCCCAGCCCTCATCAGGACCTATGTAAAACTCACTGATTGTATTAGTCCAGGGCGACCTGTGCTGACCCCGCACAAGAGCACACATATGAAGTTGGGTTAATCCAAACAAACAGGTGAGGCTCTTATTAGCCTCTAATTCTCAGTGCAAGTGTAACTTCATTTTCAATTCCTCTTCATTCTCAGTGAATGACTCATGGGAGAGGCTTCAAAGCTGCAGCCATGCACTTGAGGTCATTATCTTCATTTCTATATCCTCAGCAGGTTCTCCACATATGGGAACATTTTAACTCTTTTTTGTTTGCAGCCATAAATCTGCCATGTCAACTATACAATATGCCTGACCAGCAGCAGATGTATTTCTAATAGCTACAAAAACTTGAATCAAAGTTCACTACATCTTGATTTTGAGAACACTGTGATATATCTTAATCGTATAAATATTTAACATAATGTGGTTCCGATAATATTGTTTGTTTGTGAGTGATCATAAGGTTATTGGAGTTTTCAGGGCTCTTGTTGGTTTGCAAAAATCAACAGTGCTTAATAATATCATGATGTGTTAAGCAAATGTACAGTACAGTGTATGACTTAGCTCTGAGTGGCTATTTGTGCAGGGTGGGCCTGAGGCCTCTCCAGCCACTTCTGGAACTGCAATAGAAATGTATATATGCGCAGTAAATGTGTTATATCTTGTTTTTCCTCATCAATAGGTGTTTCACTTTCATTTTTATGAATTCCTCTTCTACTCTAAACAAATCCTTTCATCACAGTCAGCAGTGGGCCCTGGTGTCTGATCGCACAAAGCCTGACCATCCCTGACTCCTCGTCAACCCCTTTGCCCAATCCATCAAGAGGAGGCCCCAGCCACCTTTCATATCCAGCACCAGCTGAGAGCCACTGTCCCTGTGCTGACTTCAATGCAGCCGTGACACACCCCTAAGATTTATAGTGGCATAATTAGTAGCAGTGAAAAAGGCCTGTGTGCTTCTGAGGGTCACTCGTACTGTATCCCACTCACATCTGCTTCAAAATAGATTGCACTGCCACCACACAAGTTGATAAATTAACTTGGCAACAACGAGTGCAGAGATCCATCAAAGGCACACAGTGACATCAAAACAATTATACATACTTTGAGAAGAGTTAACATACTATTTGTCACCATTCATTGAAGTGGCACACTGCCGTAAATCCCATCTCTCTACAGGGAAGGGTGCCACTTGTGAAGAACAGGTCGGAGTTGAAATCCCCCCTTGGGACGGGGCTTTCCTGGAGTAGCTTGAAGGAGGTCTAAAATAACATGCCTAATACTTAAACATTGTTACATGTAATCATGTCCCATCCCACCTGTCTCAGTGTCAGTGATCGCGTAAAACAGTGAACTAATTAAAACACTCCTGGCTATGTGTTCATTTCACAAATATAAAAGTCTGCTCAATAGCTTCAACATTCACAAGTTTAAGCCTGTTTGTCAATTGTGAGCAGATCATTTCCATTCTTTTATACATTTTGTATGTAAATTATGTATTATGTATATTTATATGTATGTATGTACGTATTATGTATTATGTCCATTATTTCTACTAGTTCTGTACCCCCTGAGCATGTCAGATAAAAGCATATACTATTTGGATTTTTGGTTTGAAGTCTGACTATCCTGCACACTGAGTCTCGATAGGGCACGTCATCACCATATGGCGTATCCTTTTTTCCTTGTCAGTAGTTCAAGTGGTTGTGGCTGCTGTACTGCTGCTTACACTGAGCAGAGGGGCGAGGAAGCACCTGTTTCCAAAGAGGAGGTGGAGATAGCGCTCTCATGAAAACGTCCCACTGCAGCGGTTGGCGCTGTCACTTGCGCGGGATTGCTCTGAGATTATCCGCCGCATTCTTGAGGAATCCAATACACTTGCAGATAATTTTTGCTTCTTTTCCATTTTGTTTTATTATCAGGAGTGAACTTTTGGCATCTACGCTAATTTCTGATGCATTTGCTTTCTATTTTGATTCACTTAGGCCTAGATTTCCCAAACTTTAATTGGAATCTGTGATTTTTCAGACACCATTGGGGCGCATTTAAGAACTATTGCGTGGATGTATCATGTGAATATTATACCCAAGGTAAAACAGAAGCGCGTATTTTGAGTGAAAACAAAAACTGATGCGAGTAAGAAGGGATGCCAGCCAGGCGTGGCTTGCGTTTGAATATCCAATGTGAGAATGCATGGGGAGTATGTATATAACAGTCTTTCCATCGATACACAGAGATATCAAAGTGGGTGAATATAGGAGCATTTATAAACCGAGAGGACTGCTGCGCTGTTTTGGAGGAGCAGGGCGCGCTTTGCTTTGTGCGTGAATGGACCGTCAACTTCCCAACCCTCCTTAAGACACTGTCTACATCTCAAATGCCTTCGCTTAATCTGACAGCTGTGCACACTATGGCAGAGGTTGGGACTTTTCTCGGGACACTCGACTTGGATTTACAAAGTTTCCCAGCGCTAGGAAATATTCCTCTGGTGGAGTCTCCGGTTGGGTTGAATGAGCGCCTGGGACAGATTGAGGGGAGGCTGCAGCGAGGTTCGCCCACAGACTTTGGACACCTCAAAGGAATCCTCAGGCGGCGGCAACTTTACTGCAGGACCGGCTTTCAACTAGAAATATTCCCCAACGGGACAGTGCACGGGACAAGGCAGGACCACAGTAGATTTGGTGAGTTAAATCCTCTATCTATTTTCAAACTTAGGTTACCTTTACTTAACTTAACTTGAGACCAAGTCATACATTTAGTTTGAAACTAAAAGCCTAACTAAACCTAGACCACTGTTAAAACAACGGGGTCTGGTATGGCAGTAATTCATAAAGTCGGTGAACGGAAAGAATTTGAAACATGGCGAGCATCTTAAATGAGCATGTGGTCCATTTTTAACAGTCTTGGGTCATGCGGAGAATAATTTAGTTTTTTTAATAATATAAACTGCCTACCTATGCTCTAATATGTGTTGTGTTTAATTAGGAGGTTTGCTGTGAACCTATATCCCAGGCGAGCTGCGTTACGTGCGTCACTGCGCCATAGCACTCCACACACCTTACACTGTTAATCCCGCTGCGCGTGGGACACAGGTGCTCTCCACTCCAAACAAGCACCAAGCCTATACAACAGAGGAGCCTATGTACGTGGGAATGCAAACTGATAAACACATAGCCAGCGCGTGTTCCGTCCACCACAGGCCTCCCATAGACGTGGAGTCCTGGGTAAGGATCAGGCTAACTTCACGGACAACTGTGGGAGTTCAAAGAGTTTAATCAAAATGTAGTTCAGCAGAAGCGGGCTGATGGGTGGTCCTCGTGCACTTGTTTCTGCTTAGTCTTCTAACGCAAGGTCTTTGTGTGAGACGTCTCTGATTAAAGGCATCATACTTTGGCCGCAATTGAGGTCTTGTTGAGATGGGGACCAGGTGCCATTCAACAGGGCCAGATCTCTGACTAACTTCTGCATCACAACATCACAACAGCCGCTGCAGGCCTCTTATTTTACATGCCGTTTCCTCTCCTTTGAAGTAACGTCGTACGTTTTGACTCTTAACTTCCCATGACTCAGCAGCTTAGCCACAAGTTGTCTCAATAAAAGTCACAACAATGATCAGAACAGGTCATTCAGAGCTCAGTGATCAACACTGTTCTGTAATAAACCCTTAAGGAAAGCGGTCTATAGACTCCCAAAGCAGAAAAAGGCTATCTTTTGTTTATGTTCTTACAGAGTGTGTTTGCTGCAGGTATACTGGAGTTCATCAGTCTCGCAGTGGGCCTCGTCAGTATCAGAGGAGTGGACGCTGGATTGTACCTGGGAATGAACGAGAAAGGAGAGCTCTATGGGTCGGTGAGTCAAAGTAAAGATCTCCTCACTCCAGTGGTCCTATTCAAATCAGTTTGATATAAAGCAGTAATGGCCCTTCCCACTTAAAGCACTATAGACAACAGTAGCCTAAATTTGTGAAATTTTCAGCAGAGAAAAATAAAGATGAAACAACACCAAAATGAAAGAAGTTAATGTAAAAAACAAAAGGCCTGATAATGTTTAATCAAACATCTCAGAAACATGCAGAAATATTTACATATCTCTTCAAAGTGGAGACGCTCTGAGGGTTTTGTTGCAGATTTCCTCTGGCTGCACTGCTAGACTCAAGAGGAGTCAGATATAAGAACATAAGATCAGACAGTGGCACATCTTGTTTTGGCTGACTCTGACTTTAAGCAAAGGAACACCATGACAACAATAGAGGGGAAGTGTGTAAAGGGTTACAAGGATCAGATGTCCCAGGGCAGTACCTGAGGCCCCTCAGGTCTAGGACAGCCCCCTGAGCTATGAACAGAGGCACCTTTAAGTACAGCCACTGTATCAAAAGTACATCTTTTGTTACCAATGTCTGGCTAATGACGCGACCTGCGTGAAAGATATAATTGTCTTTTAGGTGGTTTTCTTGCACTCCTGCCAGGAGTGCCTTTCTGACACTGGGAATTGTTGAAGATTTGTATTACTGAGCTATTACTGGATGGGTGCCATCAGGGCACCTAGAGAAAGGGAGAGGGCTGCTTAGACCTCACGAGCACTGGATATCAACAGCATTTGATCCAGTGAGATGTGTGTGTAGATAGCTAGATAGATAGATAGATAGATAGATAGGTAGATAGATTGAAGTGTGTGATGTGTATGAGATGTGTGTGTGCGTACATTGGTGTATGTGTGTGTGCGTGTGTGTGAGAGTGAATGTGAGATATGTGTGTGTGAATGTGAAATGTGTGTGTGTTTGTGTGTAGATGTGACTCCTTCCTATGCCAGAGTCTAGTGTTTACAGACAACAGTTCAGCCGAGCAAAGCCTGACACTTAATCATTACAATTATTGAGGATTCACGTACTCATTTACTGCTCACACTCGCTGGTGCATTGTGTTCCTAAATACTTCCATCTATAAAGGTCAGAAGAGAAGATACTGGCTTGTTGCTTCTGGACACTGCTGGGAGACTCTGACATGTATGTGACTGCATGACTGAGTGTTCTTGGCTGCTCTGATGAGTCTTATTGTTCTCACACTCTCAGTGAGCCAGCACAGTTCACCTGCTGAACCCACAGCCATCGCTCATGCTGTGATGTCAGCAGAGGCCTCTGTCTGTGAGCCAGGTCCAGCTTCAGAGCTAAAGAAATATTTCTCAGAAGCCCATGGAGAGGTTAACAGGTCTGAGAAGTGCATGTGGGGTGCAAAGTGAAAAGACACTTGTAATGACTTAGTCTTTTTTGTCATAATGAACACCTGCCTTAATGTGTTTCTACTGGTTCATTTCAGTTCACAGGGCAAACACAATGAGCTACGCCTTAGTTGTCAGCGATGCAAATTAGAGTTGAAACTTTGTACATGTGAAATTTGTGCGCAACATTGTTGTCCTGCTGGTACAGTGTAAGTATGATCCTTATATTGTGGAAATGTACAATAGGCCCAATCTATATCAAGGTAGTCCAAAGCAATATTTGGAGAGGTTACCTTTTTTTAGATCACTCAATAATTGTAATTTTTTTTGTTTGTTTGTTTTTTTGTCCTGCAGAAGAAACTGACGGCAGAATGTGTGTTCAGGGAGCAGTTCGAGGAGAACTGGTACAACACTTATGCTTCAACTCTTTATAAACACACGGACACAGGACGCTTCTACTACGTCGCTCTAAATAAAGACGGCTCACCCAGAGAGGGTAGCAGGACTAAAAGACACCAGAAACTTACACATTTCTTACCCAGACCGGTGGAGATCGATAGGATACCCCAGGCTTACAGGGACTCTTTCCAATACAGGTGACCATAGTTGTTTGAGCAATTCCTATAGAGGTCAGAGAAACAGGGACAAGCTGTTGTGAATATGCTGTTTACTCAAGTTGTAGCTTGTTTCAAGCCTCCTGAAGTCACTTTGTAAGACTGCTGCCAAGTTTGTGGAGCACTGACATAAACAGCATGGATGTCTGGAGATGAAGAGGGGCTCTTCTGACAACACAGCACACATTTAGAGGGCTGTTATCCTATTCTAGAAGACAGGTTACATGAAGTCACAAAGAGCTTCGACTATTAAGAAAGCTGTGTAAGAGGAGACAAGACAGTACTGCAGTAATGCCAATGATAAATCAGTAGGACACATTCCACCCACAAAATGACAGACTTGTCTAAAGCCAGGAGCAAGGAAATGTTTTTGAACCCGTTAAAAGCTAAACTGGAAAATGACTTAGTTTTTTAATCAAAGGTACTAAGTGGCACAAAACCACTAAAATCAACATGGGATCAATACAATAGCACTTACTGCACATGCCTAGTCAGACTGAGGCACATGTGTATGTACAAAGGGGCTGCGCTCGAGGGAATGCACTTGTTTGACAGCAAATGTAAGAGTACAAATAATGGAGACTTGTAATGTTCAGTGTCTAGAACATTATTAAATGCAAGCAACTGAGGTGTACATATGGGTGATCCTATTTATAAAATGTACAATATATTTATTTTCTCTATATCAAATACAAATGTATATTTATTTATTGCAAAGACTTTATTTTGTAATGAACTTGAAGTTGTATGAACTGTAGATTCTACTGAACTGACACAAAACAAACAGAAATGAAGAACTGACATGAACGTGACAATAAAATTGTCTTGCTATTGAAGTGTATTCCTTGTTTCATTGAATACAGTGTATGGTGTCAAACAAGACTGAATATTGGATGTGAGCGTCACATTTTCCTTAACCATTTAGCTGATGCCTGCATGTTTACCAGCAAGAAGACATGCACATACTTTCTCAGGGGAGAACACAATACAATCCCATGGCAATGCTCCCTCATAAACCCTTTACGCTGCAGCCTCTGTCCCCACGGTCTTAGTCAGCTACATACACCATATCAAATGAGATTCCTTATACAACTGGATACCAAATACTAATTGCCTTTACACATCAGCATGGTTTAGACCAACAATTGAGGGAGCATTGCAGGGGCCCCACTGACCCCCCATCATTGAACAGACAGAAACAGCTGTTTGCTGCAGAGAACCAGCATGGATGTGCCACAATTCCAAGCACTAGTAATCTAGGGCTAAAAGGGGATGGGATCAACATTTCAACATCTGCAATAGTTGTAATGTTCCTCCACTGGCAGATATCTGTGAGTTGTGAGAGCAAGCTCCCCAGGGGGAATGGAATGGAAAAGCCAAAGACATGCAGGGAAAACCTTGGCAGACTGAGAAATTAAAACAATACTGGGAGACAGAAAACGGGATGACAGATTGAAGGAAGAGGGACAAAGGCACTTAGAGCACATTATGTGACATAGTCCATTAATACTAATGATCAGATAAATACAACTTTAAAATCATATGCTGTCAAAGAAAAATCTGTTTATTTTATGAATGTCAACATCAGGACAAATTTATTAAAAAGAGGCAAACATTGAAATCAAGTAGAATGACTCGAGAGAACACTGTTTGGTCACTTTATTAAATGTAATATTAAATACTTATCAAGATAATAGGAGATCATGGCAAATCATGTAGAACATAAAAACATTCTTCAAAGGGCGTAATATACATTGAAAATACAACTGCAACAGTTCTGTGTGTTAATAGCTACACCAGTCTTAACGATTAAAAAGCAAGAAAGTGGCAAAATGAGGTCTGAACAATTCCTGGTACCACTAAAAAGACCAGGACAGCACATGAAAAAACTGACAAGAGCAGACCCAACTTCATACTCAGTCCATTGGATCCACAGTCGTCAAACTCTGTCAGATGAAGTACTCAGTCAGGCTGAAGGGGTTGTGCTTTCAGAGAGCCAGTCCTTCACACCCTGCCTCTAGTTCAACACAAGTGGAACTTAGACAGTAAAGAGGACGCACAGTGCTATGCTAGACAACACGTGACAATGTGAATGTTACCAAAGGGTCAGGAACCGGCAGGCAGTTTTGAACAACACAAGCATTGCATTACCACATTCAGCGACCAACTAAACACTCAAAATTATATAGAAAAGATTTTTTAACAAACTGCAATTTTATAACCTTTACATGTTTTTAAGAAAGAAATATAAAGCCATTTTATCTTTTCTAAACTCCTAATAGAGCACCAGCTGCTCCCAGCGTGTTAGTTATAATTGTCAAAATTTATGGGGCATAATAAGAAAGAGCTTTGAATGACTGCCATTGATGACAATGGTCCCACTTAGGGTAAGTTAGGCATTTAAAACAGTATAAAAACTGACTTTAAATAATACCAAACCCTCTTTTTGAACAGGAAAACAATACAATGCTTAAAAGCATTCAGGGCATTTTTTACATACATGGAAAAAATTGGATGTAGAACAACATTAAGGCTGTATTTACACTTTAAATGTCCTTATTAGAACTGGTTCACACATTTATACAACACAATCCCTCTTTTCAGTGAACTACGAAATTATGAACTGAGAGTTGATCCCATTTCTGGCTCTCACTGTACAGCAGTCCCAAAACTACACCACTACACACCATGTTGAATTGCACAGGGGTGCTCTGAGTTCTTAAGCATCTCATAGTTGGTGTTAATGAGAATAGGGCCTTGCAGAAGAGGCCTTTGGGACCAGTGAGCGGAGCGAGGGTGTGGAGGGTCCTGTCTGACCTACAAGCCTTTAGAGGGCCCTGGGTTTTTGCTGGTGGCTTGGTGAGAACCTAAACCATGGAGCTGCTGGTAGAGTCCCAACAGATCCATCTGGTTCATCCCAGACACTCCCAGAATGCCGTTGTGCAGGGCCAGCTGGTACTGCTGGTTGGCCAGGGCCAGCTGCTGCTGCTGCACCTTTCTGTTGTTCATCAGCTTCTGCACAAAGCCCATTAGCTGTAAAAAAGTTGAGGGCATAAATCAATTGTCGCCATAGATCAGTAGGATCAGATTATTCTATGTGCACAAGCAGTGAACTACAAGTGTAAAAGCTGCTGTTACAAATCTATGGGTAACACAAATTCAACCCTAATTTTCATCATGCACGTACCCCCTGCTGCCTGGCTAGTATGTCCCGATAAATGGCCTCACGACGCTTGATCTCCATCTCCACATTGGCCTGTCGGTTCAGGGCAATAGCATGGACCTGGTTCTCAGTCAGTGAAGGGTTCTCTTTCCACTTAAACATAGAAAACCATTCAATAACAAGTACATACAAAATACATATTGCATTTAAAAAGGAATAAAGTTGCAAACTTACCACCCTGGCAATCGTATCCTCTAGTGTCTCCGGATTTAGAGAGTTCAGTGAATTTGTGGCTTCAATGACCTTCGCTCGACCCTGGTTGATGAGGTCCTAAAGAGAAACAAAATTGTGCCATGCAATGAGTTACTGACACTGAGCAGGATTGTAACTATATAGAGATGGGCTGCAATAGATTTTTTCTCTTTTGAGCTGATGTCTATATGGTGCTGTGGTTGATGACCGATATTTGTTGACAGTCGACACCAATATTTATAAATTATCTTTTCAGTTCCATACAGATATAAACCGATTTACTGCATGACTGTGTAAACTTGGAGCCATGTTTTTAGCCTGCCATTTCCATTTTGTCTGTTCAAAAAGATAAATTTATTGTAGGACAAACTATTGGTGCCAAAATTTAGCAAAATTTTCTAAATCTGACCTGTATCAAAATCACAGATACAGAAACCAATATACCAATATATCAACTATACACTTAAAATTTCAACTTAAGACTTTGGCTCTCACTTAGTTGGGCCAGCAATGTATAAATAGCTGACCGCAGACATGGAGTATTACAAACTGTCACAATTACCAATGGGGTCTGAAGAATGTGGGGTGCTGTGCTTGGGGGGGGGGGCATGTGTAGCTCATTACTTACCTCCAGCTGCTGGTTGGACATTGAGGATAACGCCGCCATATTGTAGTTGACGTAGGATTGGGTGCCTGCGGCCATGCCCATTTGGGGGAAGACTGTCGGGGTGTTCCTCATCATAGACATACCCTGCAACATCAAAGACATACACAGTTCTACGGGTGCTAAAAGTCACCTGGGACATGATGGGAAACAGAACTCTGTTCAAGGGACACTGAACATCCACATAATATCCTCGCTATACTTTTGAGACTAACAAAAGTGTGTTGCGGTCCTGCCTTAATGTGTGTGTTTACGAGCACGCTGACCCGGGTACACAGTCTTGTCCCAGTAAATGACAGCAGGATGCCGATGTTTTTGTGTAATTGAACCTCTGCTACAGATGGTTTCTCTGTGCCCTGTAATCTGGCCATCCGGTATGTGAGGGTGTGCGTGTGTTAGGGGCCTGTAAGAGTCTTGGACAGTCTTGGTCTTTTGTCACAGACAGGTGTGCAGGTCCAAACTGGATTTGTAATACAATAAATATTTAAAATAATAACAGCAAGTCATTTAACTAACTGAAAAATCTAATTAGAGAGCACAATAATTATTTAGGAGGAATGCTACAACTAGTCAATGAATTTAGTAACACAAAGTAAGAAAAATGTGGGTGGATTAAATTGTCATTCATAACAAGTTGAGATCATTTGTGTGTGTAGACAAGAATGTTTTTTGCATGCATTATAAAAAGGTTCCACTACCTGCTCGTCTCCATGGAAATGTTATTGCATTCCTTTAACTGTACCACCGTATGGTAAAATATAAATCTTACATTTATTTGTTGTTGTAATTATTAAATGTTTTTTATTGCTCAAAAATGCACTGGAAAAAACATTCATTTTGACTGAATGGAATCACCTTTACACAGATCTGACCTGTAAGTTCACCTGCTCAGCTCCATAGAGATAGAAAAGTTTATTGGCATACTGTGGAACATTCCAGGCAAAGCAATAACATTTCCATTGAGACCAGGAAGTAGCATAGTCTACTTTTAAGACTTAAGTGTACTTGTGCAAGAGCAGCAGTGAAAGTGCACCCCTTTTTTGCTCATGTGTGGTACTCAAAAGTGAACTCTTAAATTGAGTCTAGTGTGGAGCTCCAGCTCAGGTTCTCATAGTTCTGTCCCATTTCCTGAGCTGCAAATCTGATATTCATACACGCAGCTCATCCTAGCAACCACTGGCCAACCCTTAAGTTGTGAGGACATTAGCTGAGGTTGGGTTGCGTTCCAGTTGTTTCTCCCGCAAAGCTCTCCAGTATTTAGAATGATCCTTTGGTCTCACTCTTTCTCTGCATCTTCAGTGGATATTAGAGAAAGAACTAATGCGAGGACAAATTGGATCTCTGCACTCAGCTTTTGTGACTGAACCCTGTGTTCAGAGTTCTGTTCTTTTGTAAAGCAGAGGCCACAGTCAAAAGCAGCTTAGGGCAGACAGAGGGCACAGAGGAGAGTGTGTAGGAAAAATAATCATTAGAGTGAATTAGACTCTAGGATTACACAGAGGGAGAGACGACCAGCTTCTGATCCATTACAACATCAGCTCAACAGAAACATACTTTTACAAATAAACTGCACTAATTGCTCAATGAGGCTGGGGTGCTATGGAAAAGTGAAAACAGGGAATAGTGCGCCACCTGAGTATCTACAGAGAGGGCCTGTCAGCTGCTGGCCCAGTGATGAAAGGATCGCAATGATCCAACTCAAACACAGATCCACAGAAAGAAAACTGGCTCTGGCTTGGTCCTCACTTAACTGGTGGATAATAAGAATGAGGGACACAAAGGCTAAATCCTGAGGCTATGGTTGTTAGATAAATGTGTGAACTCTGTGTTGTGGGTAATACATTTCCTATATCTCACCTTCTTCTCAGCTTCATACTCTGCCCAAGCAGCCTTCCGATCCTCCTCACTCAAAGCCTCCTCCTCTTTATGGTCCAGCAGAGAGTCGTGCTCGTGGTAACCCATTATCTGGTCTTTGTTGTTCTGGAGCAACTCAGCCAATACAGCATCCTACAGTAAAAGTAGTAATATTATCAAAACAATTATTTCATTTAATTAATGTGGCACAAAGAAAGCGATATTAGGTTTCCAGAAAATATAATCGCTAAAGATATTGAAAATATACTCATTTGAGCAAGTTTCGATACTGACAAAAATAACTTAAATAGGACAATCTGGAATCTTCATGTTGCAATGGGGCATCAGCTGTACATAACAATGAAGCAATGGTCCTCTGGTGTAAAAACCACCACCTCTGGAGGTTGACAGTATTTTTGGCATGCTAACAGTATGCAGTACAATATGAAAGCTGACCTTGACATTTGCCCTCATACGACATACGATATGACAAAACACTACTGGTACATGGAACATAAATATATAAGATTGAAGAGATGACCAATCTGCAGTGTTTGTGCTTTTTAGCATGCCACTCATGCTAAGAATAATTTAACATTCACACAATTTATGTATAAAATCAAAGAGTGCGTGTTGAGAAGTCCCCTCCCCACACACAAAAAGTGTAATTTTGTCCGTTGAAAAACATGAACTGACAGTTTTAACAGTTTTATGAGGTAAAACTTGGCCTTGCCTAAAAAAGGAATTAGACAGATTAGACAACATATAAAAAGGCAAACAAAACAAATACCACATACTTTTGTTAGAATCTGGTTTCCATGACCACATTGTTATTGAAAACAATACCTGAGTAAAAATGGAGCTGGACCAGATGCCGCTCACATAAACATGGTTTAAATTACTCTACACACACGCACACGCACACACACACTTTTACTTTACATTAAACTGGGACTTCTTTCTGGAAACTTCATACAGAAGTTGCATCATTACCCTCAGAATGAGCCAGTTTACAAAGGGACAGCCCCACAAGAGAGAAAAAATTGCCAAAATGAAAATGCAAAATGACAAAAAAATCTGAACTAAAAAAAAAAAAAAAGGTAAGTGGAAATTAAGCAAGGAAGAACTATTTTACTTATCCTTACATTCAATCTCAATGTGATAAAAGCTTGAGGAGAATAAAACTATCATCTCACCTAAGGGCAAGTCTTAGGTCAAAGTCAATGGCACACCATGTACCAAAACATAATTTTAATATTAGTCAAAAAGTTTTTTTTTAACCTTGTTGAACATGACATAACAGCTGTTGTAATCAGTAATATAAAAAAAAAAACATTCTCCTGCCAATCACCATCTAGTCAGAAGGAGTACTTGAGACACTGTAACGGGTCAGTAGTGCCTGAGGTCAGATGACAGTATACAGCCGGTGAGCAGTGCATATGGAGAGACCACAGTATTCTGTGCTTGCAGTGGCTCTGGGGTGGTCCGTTCATCTCACAGGCAGCATGCAGAGCGCCGCTGTGTTCAGAGCCAGCGCTAATGATTGTAGGTAACTCGACCTGGCCTATTGTCATCCTTTAAGGGCTGCATGGAGTAGCCTATCACTTTACTGAGGGGAAACAGAAAGACCCCAAGCAGCACTGGGTGGGCAGATGTATTGAAAGTGGTAAATTAACCCATTGGCCCAAAGCGTGGGGAGCAAGGATTGTTTTTATAGAGTCACATCTCAAAAGGAATTTTGGCATGTGGCATCACAGGCTGTTGTTTTTATTCAATTAGAAAGATGCCAAGCCATAACAAACAACAGGCTTTTTTCATTCAAGACCAAAGACCAGACCTTGTCTCAACCTAAGTGCCATAATCTGTTGTTTAAATTTTAAACAACACAAAGTATGCCTTTTATTTTACAAAGTATCTGGAAAAGTGCTAATAACGTGATGTAAGCTCCAAGAAGGAAATCTGCTACAGCTGACTTGGACAAACAAGTAGAAAGGAAAAGTCTACAGAATAAGCCTAAATTTGTATGTTATTTGCACATGCTTGAAATCCAGCAAATTAGTGTGAACTGTACAAAATGTACATCAAAGTCATCTGCCAAACATAAACAGTGTAACATTAGACAGTTTTACTAGATTTGACAACATCCTCACATAGTGGTCATCCAAGTCCGCATATTTCCTTAAGATCAAGCTATGTTTATGTTTTTGCTGAACCTTAAAGATCCTTGGGCTTTACTCTGAATTGTTACAATTTGTTTGTTTTTTACTCTGGAAAAGCAAATCTTGTTGCTGATGTGGGTCCAATCTGCTGGCATTTCAGCCAATAATGAGGCAAAACATAAATGAGGAATGAGAAATTATTTACTGGAATAAAACAGAAAACAGATGACTGACAATATCCATAACCTTTTAGCCTTTTACCTTATGCAGCCAGTGTTGCTTCTAAGGAATAAACTGTTACATACTGAGATCAGACAGTATTTGTCAGACACATCTTAAAACACAGGTGGGTTTACCATGGCAACATAGGGGGCCAAGACGGGATCACAGCAGCAGGAATGTGCGGAGCCAGGATATTTGTAATACCTAAACATAGCCCGTCAAAACTCTCTCCCCACCAGCTGCACATAAACGATACACATAACCCCAGTGGCCCACTCCAAACACTGTTTCTGCTACAGGACCACGTTGTCTTAACACCCTCCAGGGCCTGCTTGCAAGTGTGGGTTTATCTAGCTGTCAGTCAATTAACAAAGAAACAAAATGACGCATGTCACAAAGGGCTAAACAAAGACAATAAACATGGTACATTCCTATAAAAACAAGCCCAAGCTAGCACCAGAAGAGAGGTGGGGGGTACCCAGAGAGGAGCGCTGTACAAGGGCAGGCCAGCTGGAAGGTCAGGAGGGATTCAACCAGACATCAAGTCCAGACAGTGTTACAAATTAATAAACTTGTTGTAGCCCAAATAAACTAAAAATACATTGATGGTATAAATAGACAATGTACATGACTGCAAGGGAAACACGGAGCTACACAATGACGCAGGACGTACTGCCATTTGCTGGTAATACAGTACTGACTTCATTCTAGTCACTCTTTTGAGTTTTGAACGTCATTAAAAATACAATAAAAAAGGATTATATAAACAAAGACCAGAGTGACAAAAAAAGAGAAGGAAAATGGTCTAGCTGTTACTATCATTAGAATGCTCTTCACATCCAATCTGACAAGTTCAAACATGTTCCGAGGCTGGCAAAAAGCTGAAAAACCAAACAAACTGCCGACTCAAGCTCAAGTTGCTCAAACAAGAAGCAACTCAACAAACAACTCCTCAAGATGGTATACATCACAGGCTGGTGATATATGATGATTAAATAGTGTTTAAGGATTTCCTTTTAGATCAAGAGTTTTCCTATGGTTAATGGGACAAGCATGGTGAGGCTTACTACTACAGTCTGCAGTACAGGATAAGTGCTGGCTCTGTGCACCATTCAGGGCAGAATGACTGAGGACTCAATAAATCACGATAATTTATTTAGAAATACAGTAACAATTATGTGAGCCGTTATATATTTATATATCGTCATGCACAAAATTTCATAAAACTACATCCCAATAAAACAATAATATTGAAACTACTATAGATACCAATGACGCAACAAATTCAAAGCAGAATGTTTGCTGAATTTGTTTTCTGCAGTGCATGTTAACGAACATGCTGGTTTGTAGCAATTATCTCATTTCCATCTGTTGTCTCACAAAAGCAAGAAAAATATTTGCCCATCCATCCCTAGTAGTGTGTATTAATGTATTGCCTCAAATCATGAGGGACTCAGATTCCTAGCCCTAAAAATGACTCTAGCATGCTGGCAGCACAATGAGGTTTGAAAACTAGACCAGCAGGAGAATACTACGGTACAATAAATGGTTGACATTGTCTAAGGATAGGGCCAATCTCATGTCTGGGTCACATGTACACTCTGTGTCATTAGGAGGAAATGTACCCTGTTGCTTCGTCTCCAATTAGTTTCTCTGAGCCATCTTTAACAGTGGGGTTTCAATAATGACCCTTCATCAGACGAGAAGTGGCCAGAGGCGAACAAGAAAAAACAAGTGATGTTGCTTTGAACATTTTGGAGCAGTGATGAGTAAGAGTAGCAGATAAAGATGATAGTGAGCAAAGGAACAACAGTGAGGACATGGGGTGTGGTGGAAAAGATGACACAGTTAAATATGTTATGAAATAAGGAGCCAAGCATATCTGAAAAGTCCAACTTCTACGGCTACCACTACTCCCTCTACACAGATATGACCTTTAACCCACTATGTAGTTCTAAGGAACTCATGACTGACTTGTGGAAAATACTGTACCTTACTATCATTTCAGTGATAGGGGAAGGATGTGGTTTGTATGACAGGTTATGGAAAGATAAGTGAGAGTTACAACAAACCACCACAACAAACTTCTGAGAATTTAAGATAACTCTTGCCAACTCAAAATGTGGAGGCCCATGTGAAATGATGTCATGCGATGCAGTGATATGTAGTGAAGAAAAGTTGTGCCTTATGATTTATGGTTGACACTGCTGACACTTGACAAGTCTCATATGGAAAAGCAAATAAAATACATTTGTGTGTAAATATCTTCAAATATTGTGTGCCTGTTACAGTGGCTGCTTAAAATGTCGTCATGAAAATGGTCTGCCTACTTGCGTAAGGTCCTTTTGACTCAAAGTGATTGATATGGTCTGACTCATCTTCACATGTTTCCAGACAGCAAATTCCTTCCATACAGCTGTAGTTTGGCTGCCACAACACCTTATGTCCGGGCTCTGGACTGTCAGCTATTTAATATTGTATCACTGAAATACCAATGAGATTCATTTATGTTTACAGACCTCTGCAAAGTCAAGCTAATCAAACCAAAACCCAAAAGTAAAACCACTTCAAAAAGGAGGGAGATGTGTAGGCAATTAAGAGACGAGGACAGTAATAAATGGAAGACAATTTGGGAAAAAGGTTTTATAGTGGTCCAGCAGCTCTGCAACGAGCAGACTGTTTAGTAAATAGCTGTAAACAGACAAACTAGTGCAGCTGTTCAAAGCTACACAGCCTATGCCATGGCTGTTTATTCTTATTAAACCCTTGAGGCTGAAATACTGACACAGCACCTGCATTTAGGAGAAGAGGCAGATTATGAAAAGAAACACAAAGAAAAGATCCCGGAAAGGCCAACCAGGATACAAGCTGGCATGCTCTTTGGTGCAATTTTGGAATAACAAGCTTGGCATTTAAAAGTACATTCCTTGCCATGTTTGTTGGAGCATAAAAGACGCATTAACTACTGTTAATAGGTTTCATCCTAAAAGGTTTTGTTTGAAGAACACAAAGAAATTTCAAGCTAATTGAATACGATTAAATCTAGTTTCCTGATGTTTTTTTTTTTTTTTTTTTTTTTTTTTAAATCAGTAGTTTATGTGTTCAATTGGACATGTACAATACATAAGAAGAGCATATCAGTTTACCTTAGGAAGCACTGGTGTGTCCCTCTTTTTCTTCTTCTCGGAGGGGTCGTCCAACTGGTCTGGTTCAAAGGTATAGAGCTCGGCCAGCTCGTTCATGGTAAAGTGCCTTTCTATTTGTTGCTGGTCCACAACTCGGAATGACAAAGATTGCTTGGTTACTTGCCGTTCATAAATCTTCTCTTCCATTGTACCCTGGAAAAAAGCAAAGCACATTTTATCAATAGACTATAAATCCACAATATGACTATAAATTATCATTTCGAAATTTCATACCTGGGCCAAAAACCTGTACACAAAGACAGTTCTAACTTGTCCAAAGCGGTACACTCTGAAGATACTCTGGATATCGTAGGAAGGATTCCAAGAAGCATCAAAGATTATAACCCTGTTTGCTGCTACAAGGTTGATGCCCAGTGAGCCTGCTCGTGTTGAGATAAGGAACAACCGACCTCTGAAAAACAAAAAAATAGGCAAAAAATTTATAAAATGTATCAAATCTTATATCAAGTATCAGACACAAAATTTGACTGCACGTATACCTTGTGTTACTGGTATCATTGAATTCCTCAGCCCACTTCTTTCTGGTGGTTGCATTGGTGGAGCCATCAAGGCGATAGTAGTCAATGTTCCTGAACCACTTACCTTCACCTGGATAGAATAGTAGTTTGTAGGTTAAGCTTCAATGTACAATACATGGATTATAATTTGCCAGATGAATTTAACACTTGCAATAAGCAGACAGCTGAATTATGGTTGTGTTGGGCAGACACCAACCATGTTTAGCTTTCAAGATGGCCTACCCCCTACCAGCCTTCATAACCAGCATCTCAGTATGTTTCCAATTACAGCACTGTGATCTTTTCATTACAAATTACAAACCCTTGAGCAAACATTTTTTGTGGAATAAAAAGTCAAGGTCTAATCATTTCCAAAATGAAAGTAAAAACAGCTGCTCAAGTTTAATTAGGAACATGACCTTACACCAGCAGCGGTGCATTTGTAAGCGCCTGTGTGTGTTTAAAGTTAATAAGCACTAGAGTACAAGTATGTTGCATACAGGCAGCTTCAAATGGGCATCTCCATATGAAAAAATAAGCAAGCATTTTTCACATTTTACACAGTTAGTTCCTAATCTACAGTAGAGTCAAGTGTAAACTACAAAAATTAGGACAGACATGTGAGTTCATATACAGTGACAAGTCTAGTCAGCTATAATGAACAATGCGTAAAACTGTCATATCAATGTACATTAATCACCACATTTCACAAAAAAGCAACATTTAAAATACATGCTTTTGTACCTTTATATGGAGAAGGCTTTTCTACATCATCTTCACCACATCTACAAGCCAGTTCCAGAAAGTCCTCTATCAGGTCCAGAGAAATGAGAGACTGACTGAACACCAGCCTGAAAAACCACAAAAGCATGTTAGCAGCAACAATTTAACAAACCATTATCATCATGCTGCTACACTTACACTTTCTCCTCCAACTCCTCTGCCATCCGGAGTATCTCAAAAAGCAGCACCATTTTCCCAGAGTGCTCCAGGATTTCAGAATCAGCTTCAGTGACAAACTCTCTGTGCCAGTCAGCAGTGGGACTCCCGGGATGTGAGCCAGATGGCCGAGCAGCTGATTTGTAACAGACATAAACTGTCAATTCACAGCAAGAATCAGTATTGAAATTACAACTGCACGGATTGTTGTGTGTCACTATTTGTGTAATAGCAATTCAGAGGTTTCAGTTTCCTGTGATATGAAATATTGAGTATTTCCCCATTCAAAAAGATATAATATTTATTTTTAATTGTTCATCATTAAGGCATAGGTCCCAATTTCACATCATTCAGAAATCCATGGATAGTCCGATAATGGGTAAATGCTCATTTATGCTCCATTTTTCTATGTCAACAGATCAGTCCGTCCCCAAAAGGTAGTTGTAGCAAAGCTGTGTTCTTTTACATAACCACCAGAGGGCGTTAGTTCAAGAATAAGCAAAAATGGAAGAAAAACATAGAACATAGGCACACTTGAATCGCATTTGTTGGAAAAGTCAATAAAATCAAGTGAAAGCATTTATTTGTTCGCAACTTATCCCAGTCACATAGAGTATGAGCCTTAAAAGTGTAGTAGAAAGTGTAGTAGAGGGTGTAGGGTAACCTACGCTCTTCTTCAGGCTCTGGTCGGCTACGTCCCTCTCCTCCTTCACCATTTCGCCCTCGGGAGCTGGTATTCCACTCCTTAATCACTTCCACATCATCGCTATCAGACTCTTCAGAGACCTTTTTCTTGCCTTTCTTCTTTTTCCTATAAAATATTATCAAATGTCAATACAAGTTAAGTGAGCTCTATAGCCATAATTTTATAAGGTTTTTTAATTTTTTTTACTTCTTTTGCCTCTCATCCCCAGAGCTGAGACTCATGGATGACTCGTCAGTTTCTGAGGCGATAAACTCTTCCATGCTGTCCTCATCAAAGAATCCCTGTGTCACAAAATGTGGCAGAACAATGAATTAGTCATATGGGTAAATTATGTTTGTGTATAATTGTACTTTTCACTTAAAACTCCAAAAATAAGTCAACATTGTTTGTCAAAGGTCTTACCCTGTTTTCTTTACTGATGTAGTCCAGCTGAAGGCACCACGGATGGGTCCAGATTCTGCTAAGCATCTGGAAATCCTGGAAGAGTTTGGTCCCAGCACGGCCTCGGCCTCCTTCCAAAGCATTCCCCACACCTGCACCAGACAGACCCGAGCAAGAGGAGAAATTAATGAATGTGGAACTGCATTATGCACCTCACAGTGAGAAAACAATTACTACATAATTACTATGTATATTCAGACACAGTGAGTGAAGTAAGAGAAATCTGGTTTTGCAATTGTAAAAAGGCATGTAAGAGTAATCAATTAACTTGAATCTGAATTGACCAACTTTTTAAAATTTCACTGTGCTAACATCATCCAGATCATCTCAGATATGAGATATTCGAAAAGTTATTTAAAACTCAAAACATATCCCAGGTCACACATATTAAATCTCATTCTTCATTGCTTTTTTTGTGTTGATAAAATAACCATATCATTGTTCTACTTATCCACCAGTTCTCTTGTCTTTTGTTTTCCTGTTGGGTATATGATCTCAGGACTAGGGCCGACCGATATGGATTTTGCTGCAGCCGATATGATACGATAAAATGGGAGTTAGAGCTGTCGATAGCCAATATAATTGCCGATATAATGAATGATATAAAAATTCACTGTAACTCTTGAATTGCTTAAAAAAACTTAGGTTTGGCTCTAGTGGATTTAATTTTTTTTTTTAAAGTTAGGCAACATTTATTGTTATTCTGCCTCTTTACGTCATATTTACAGACAGTAGGTCGGCCTAATGGCATTTTTGCATCACATTCTAGCAGCTAGTGATGGTTATTCCAGTTCTTTTTACAGAACCGACTCTTTTGGCTCAGCTCAGTAAAAGCAACTGGCTTTTTCGGCTCCCAAAGTGGCTCTTCAGATTGTTTTGTTGCAAGCAGGACTAAAACAGAACTGAACCAGGTCTAAAGCAGGTCTAAAGCAGAACTGGACCAGGACCGAAAAAGGACTAAACCAGGACTAAACCAGATCTAAACCATGTGTAAAACAGGACTAAACCAGATTTGAACCAGGACTGAGTGTCAGGACTCGGTCTCTGTCTCTAGCCCTCGCTTGAGCCCAAGATTAGTCCTAGTTTATTTATTTTATGCTGAACTACATCCAAATATGCAAGTTTTTAATATCCTATGCACAAGCATATTTCTGAAAGTTTCGTTTTCATCTGCTGCCTGCTGTCAAACTACAGGTCTGCAAGTGGAGTGAAGAGAAAAAAAAAAGTGAGAGAAAGAGAGAGGGTGAAAGAAAGAGAAAACACGGCTCCCAATAAGGAGCAGGCTCCCGTTGTTCGCTTCAAAGAGCCAGCTCTAAGAGCCATTTCGTTCGCGACCGACCCATCACTACTAGCTAGTAAAGGAAGTAAACTACTGCTATTAGCCTTTAGCCGTAAATGTGTGCACGCCGCAATAACTAATTATATGCATAAATGTCATCATTCACACCTCTATTCACATTTCATTTACATATCAATGCTGGTCCAGTAACATATATAAATGGGAATATAGTCACTTTACAATTGGCCAATAGAAGAGAAAACAGCCTGTTTATATGTGGGAGCTACAGCAGCTGATCGAATGAGAAAGAACCAAAACCAGCTTCAAAGTCGACATATTTCCAACGCTCACCGCTCACACAGGCTCCTCGTCACATCACAAGTCTGCACTAATAAAGGTCCTTTTAATCCCGATTCAATCCGATTGTCCGTAAAAAGAATATAATCTCAGTGTTTGGATCTGTGGATGCGCTTGTAAACCTGTAAACAAGTGCACGTGAGTGACGTGACTCTGGGGGTGTGTTCAAGGACAGTACAGCCACACACACAGACAAATGACTCCGCAGATAAATATTGATGCGGAGCCACATATTAGGACATTTATTGGTCTGTAAATTGGATTAAATGAACATAATGCAGAGCGTCTAAGCTTTATAATGAGGTATAACATGCCCAAGTGAAATATCAGCCCATATCAGCAAACATATTGGCCAACCGATATATCGGTGAGGCTCTACTCAGGACTTCATCTGTAAAAGTTTTTTTCCCTTCACTCTATGCTCCTGCATTCTCCCTTGCGCCCCCACCCTTGGTCCCCTCTGTCCCTGGGCTCTTCATTAAAGAGACGTGGGAAACTTGACTTAAACATTGCCTGCAGCACTTTGCCAGCTGCCACTCTTACACACAGGTCCTAGACCACATTTTAAAGCGGAAGCCTACTAAACGACTTAACAAAGCCTCTCAAAATGTTAACTCCATTCATGTCAAGTTTTAACAAAAGACAACCAGAAAAACAAGCACTACAAAACCCCCATTATATCAAGTCTTCCTATGGTTCTCAGGTATGGCAAAATCTTGGTTCACATTCTGAGGAGCTAATAGAGAACAAGACACGCTAGTAGTGATTCCAAACACAGAAAAACAGTGACACAAACCCTCTCCTGTGTGGCCTAAAACCCACCTGTGAAATGCTCCAGGTAATATCTATACAGGCGGCACTGGATGGGAGTCATTCTCACCGAGAGCACATACTCGTGCTTTGGAGGCAGAAACTTTGTAAGTGCAGAGTAATCTTTTCTCTGTGGTAAACAGAAAGCAAAGAAACAAAGTATTATAGGTTGACAAACTCAGTGGTAAGCTTTGGTAGTGACAAAAATAAAATAATATAGTCTACATTACAACAGTAAAAGCAGGGCTGGACTGGCAGAAGACCTCAGACCTGGACTTTTTGGTCTGGGTCGGCCCCTTTTGAAAGTCGATTATTGTCAATAGGCTGAGCTTGCAATTTAATGTGTGTATAATTTAGTGGTATTATTACTATTTATTGGTATTTATTACACAAACCCTAATCCTTTGGACTATTTTTAGTAAGATGTGTTATTAATCGTTATTACATGTTGTTGGTAATTAATTCATTAAATTAAAAAATATTAACTTATTTCATAAGTTGAACAGGTCAGACCCAGAGTGTACTTGTTGTGCATGCCCCTGGTGCTCAGAGCAGAGTCACAGTCTGAGCTGCAGTGACAGCAGTGGTCTAAAGGGGCCCCTAAACTCCAGTCTTCACTTGCTTGTGTCAGGATGTCTGTACTCATGTTTTACATCACTTTTCAAGAGAACAGCTTTTCTCCTTTGCTCAAATCATGTAAGAAAAATGCTACACGTGTCCATGGTAAATGCTTTGGTCATGCTGTATAAAAATAACCAATTGGAAAAAAGGTGCTAAAAATAACCAGAACTACATGAATATGTGGTCTATCAATGTGAAAAAAACTGACATGAAGATTGAGTTGAGCAGAATGTCTATGGACTTGAAAATGGTTTCATTTCAATGAACAGGCTCACTACCAACAGTAGCTCTGAGCACGCTGCCGACCAGGCTGATAAAGGACTGGGTCAGGAGCTCAGTGAACTCAGATTAGAGTTTATACAGCCAGTGAAAGCTGAATAAGAGCGAGTCACTGGAGCGTTACTTCAGGATTGTGCATAGTGTAGCCCACAAGTTTGACAGTGACAAGCCCAAAAATGCCTACTGGGGAAAACTCCTGATGCTCCAGATGGCCAGTCCAGCCCTGAGAAGAAGTGTAACCTGGTAAAAGCCATATTGATATTCAAAAATATAATATCAACCATAATATCAATGTGGAATGGCTCCTTTGTGGAGGAAATTTTGCCACCAGTTGGTTGAATTAACATGATCTCGTTTCTGTAAAACTTTTACCAAAATGTGGGGAATTACTCAAACAAACACAAATGAAACACATACTCCAAGTTCCTTGTAGATTAGGATACATTATGAGTAATGAGTAAACGCTGAAAGTCACATTAGTCTCTTATTGCGTAATAAAAGACTAAAGAGTCAGTAAAGAATCAGTCACAGTGCAGAGCACCAATAGAATGCCTACACCTATAATTACCTGAACACAACCCGCCAGCATCTCGTACAGGATGTGTGCCCTCTTCTTCATAATGCGGACATCGTGCATCGTGGAGTCAGCACACTGCCCATTCTGGATGGGGTTAATGAAGCGATTCCTGAACTCCTTTACTGAACCGAGCAGGTTTTCTTTGATGAAATTAACCATGCAGTGGTCTGACATAAAAACAAAAGATATTTTTAGACAAATAAAATGATAAACATTTGAAATTGTAATAGAAACATACATTCAATTAGGTTGTTTTGTAGTGGTGTTCCTGTAAGGACCACCCTCCTTCTTGTTTTAATTGAGTTCATGGCCTTGGACACAGCAGAGGCCTCATTTTTAAGAATATGACCTTCATCGCAAATCACCAAATCTGGGCCTGGTGAAAAGAAAAACATATGCACATTAGTCACATCACATACAACTACACTGAAGTATTGATATGATGTCAAAAATGTCCACAAAGGAGAACATAAAAATATAGTTATAATTATGTATAACGTAAAATGTATAATTTAAAGAAACACACTGTACCTGGATCAACAAGTGTCTTCTGAAAGGTCTCTTTGAGTTTCTTGCTTTTGATGTTCCTCCCCTGGGTGAGGTTTCGATACATCTCGTAGCCCATAATCATTATCCCACCAGATTCCTGCCATTGCTGTAGTGCAAAAGCCCTCTCTTGTGGTCTTTTTACTGTGGCCAACTCTGTAACCTGTGACCCACAAAACAAGTCATTTCAATATTACTAATACAAGCTTGTTTTTAGCACTCTATCAAATTGCCCCTTTACCTCCAGTATCTCATCATCCTTAAAACCTTCTTGCCACTTCTCAAACTCATTAAGCCAGTTCAGGACAGTGTTTAGAGGACAAACCACCAAGGCTGTAGTGAAGTCAAGTTTTTCACAGAGCAACAAAGTATGGAGAAATGTCACCACCTTAAGTACAAAAGCAGAACTACATATCACTGTGGGAATGAGCGAGCAACAGTAACAAACATGTTTTAAATGTAACTGTTTTTTAAAATGATTTTCCCAAAAGCTGTTACTGTACCTGCAGGGTTTTTCCGAGACCCATGCAGTGAGCGAGGATGCAACCTGAACCAGCAGATTTCTTAACCTTTTTCACAGACTCACAACAACAATCCCACATAAACTGGACCCCTGAAACACAAGTTCAAATGATGACATAAAAAAGTAATCAAAAATAAATAATAAAAAAATATATAGATTTAGTTTCTTACCATCAACTTGGTGAGGTTTGAGCTTTGTAACAAGGTTTCTGTGGACCTGCACTAGAGGCTCCTTTGTCTCTTCATCCTCATCAAGTACAAGTTTAGTGGTAATGGGGCATGACACTTGGGAGGATTCCTCCACTTCAATTACCTAAAAGACACCAGGTACATACATACTATACACTGTACAATTTAAAAAGACTGTACCAAAATATTTTTTTGTGCCTGGAGAAAAAATTAAAAGCACTAGATACTTAGCTTAAAATAAAATAAATAAGAGCATCACGGTTGCATTCAACAGTAAAACACAATCTTGTACAGCACCTCTCTGAGTCTCTTCCTGAGTGCTTCTCTCTCTGCTATCCGCTTCCTCCTGTCCTCCTCCTCTTTAAGGGCATCTCGTGTCTCTGTGCGCAGTTTGTCATCCTTCAAGATTTTGCGAATCTTCTTGCGTCCTTTGCGGCCCTCTTCACCATCTTCACCATCTTCACCCTCCCCATCCTCCCCTTCCTCATCTCCACTCTGTAAAATGACCATAACACTTTAATCACAAGGGGGACTAAAACACTACTTTTACTGGTAATTGTGTGGCCGTTCATCGAATGAATCAGTTGCATTTTGTGTAATAATTGTATTAGCAATAGAGATGGCCTCACTTTTTCGTTACTGGAAGATGAATCCTGAACTTTGATTCTGCGACGCTTCTTCTTTTGCTGCTTGTAACTGCGCTGTTTTTGTTCATCCTTCTTTTTTGCAGCTCTGTAATCATAAATTTAAAATTTTAAATGAGTCAAGGCACTAGCAAATATGTTGGTAAAATGAGTGCACATACCTAGTCTTTCTTTTCTTGCCCTCTTTTTCTGAATCACTCACCGCCTCACTTAAGGCTTCTGAACCTGAACCTGAACTTTGTGCGCTGGACTCCGGCTTCTCAAAATCTGAATCTGAGTTATCACTATCCACTGGAGGAGAAAAAACAACAAACAGAAGACATTTAATAGTCCAAACATTAAAAGAAAGCTTGAAGGAGTGGTGTACAAAATCAATTTAAACTCACCAGTCTTCTTAGCCTTCCTTTTCTTCTCTTTAGATTTGTCCTTCTTAGTCTCTTTGCCCTCATCCCCAGATTCACCCTCACTCAAGGACAGCTTGTGACGTAGAAGTTTGTGACGTCTGGCACCTTTCTTCAAATCTACATCAGATCCTGAGTTTTCTGAATCACTAGAGTCTGTGAAACGTAAAAAAATGTCTACGTGATATAACTTATACTATTGAAAAATACTGATGATTAGCATAGTAATGACCAGGCTACCTGATGTTTTTTCTTTGTTTTCCTTTTCTTTTTTTACTTTTTTTGAAGTTTCTTCTTTTTCAAGTCCTTCATCGTCAGATGAGCTTTCAGCACCAGAGGAATAGTTGGATTTAATTTTAGCAAGAAGCATCTTCTTAGCAATTCTTTAAACAAAAACAAACAAACAATCCAAGTCAATAACCAATAAAAGATCTTAAAAGTGTCATTGTGAGTCATTACCTATTTTCTGGATCATCATCAAAATCATCTTCTAATGGCTGAGAGGGCGCTTTCTCCTCAACTTCATCCCCTGCACAAATCAAACTGTAAGTGAAAAGCAAATAGAACATGAGGCATGTCCCTCTATGCGTGTGTTTACCAGAGGACTGATGAAAGTGCGCACTTTCACCAACAATATTCTCCACTATAGGTTTTATCTTCTGATCATCGCTATCCTCTGCAGCCTCTTCGTCAGCCTGCTGCTCTTCCTCCTCATCACTTGATGAAGACTGCAGTTTAGAGGCCGCTTTGGGACTCTTACCTGTGCGTTTCTTTTCGTAAGACCTTTTACGATCCCCTGGCTTCTTCTCTGGAGAGCTTTTCTCATCATTTACTTTCTCATGTTTCTTTACTCTGGTGGATCTCCGTTTTGATTTTTCAAAGTCCTCATCTTCTGAATCAGTTGAGTCTGAACCATTTTGTTTTTTCTTCTTTGGCTTTGTTTTGGTTTTATTCTCTTTATTATCTGAATCTGAGCTTTCAGACTTCCTCTTTCTTTTTGAAGAGGCGGAAGTGTTGTTTAGTTTGAATAAACGTTTCTTAGCACAACTGCTTTTTTGTTCGTCCCCTGAGCTATTGGCATCAACTGCTTTCTTGATCAGAGCATTTGGAACTTCATCAGAGTCTGAGTCCAGAGTCTTAGCCTCCTGCTTCACATCTTTTTTGTCATCCATTAACGTGGCTTTTTTCTTTGAACTTTTCTCAGACTCTGAATCGGACGACTCTTCTTTGTTCTTGGTCTCTGTCTGCTTCCTTAAAGGAGTAGTCTTGACACGACTTGACTGGCATGTGCGTTGCGGACTTGTGCCACCTTCTTTCTTCTTCACCTGTGTCTCTTCTTTCTCTATGTTTTTAGATCTAGACTCGCGGGTCGTTACAATTGGCACTGGAGTTAGTTTGACTATCAGATTTTTGACCTTGGGCTGTGAACTTTTGGAGTCAGCTGGATTACCATTTGACTTTCCATCTTCTTCTGTAACTGACAAAGTGTCACTCTGTTCAAGTTTGGCAGAATCAGCAAGACTTTCAACCATCTGAAAAAGTTCTTCAGGAACTGAAGGAGGAACCGCCAAAATATCTTGATCTAACGACATCTCAGTGTCTTCTAATGGATCCTCACAAATCTCAGTCTTTATTTTAATATCTGTATTGGTTTGATTCATTTTGGAATGCACCTCTATTGTGTCAGTTTCATTGCTTATTTGAAGCTCTTCAACTGCTGCCATTTCCTTAATGTCTTGAACTGGCATTTCAACTTCTGTGCCCTCACTACTGGGGTTTTCCTGTGCTTTGTCCTCCTCCATATCCTCCACAGTAGACTGCTGGTCATTTTCCTCCATCTCGTCAACAGAAGCCGATACTTGACTGTTACATTCTGCCATCTCCTCAGTAGCAGATTCATGGTAGTTTTCCTCAACTGGCTGCTCAATAGCAGTGTTCACATCTGAAACATCAGAGGAATGGTCACCATCCAAATCATTTTTCAAGAGGGTTGCTTCACTTGAGGTTTTTGTTGCACTGGGCAGGCCATTCAGCAACTCCATATTTTTAAACTCTGGCTCTAGGACAGCCTCCAATGCACTGTGGGCCTTTTTTAAATCTGCAAGTACTGATTTGAAAGCTTTCAAATGCCGATATCTAATGGAATTATCAGTCTCTTCCTCTGCTGTTTGTTGTATGAACTGAATAAAAGTATTGTTTAGCCCAGTAGTAGTTTCAACAAGTTTTTTTGTTTTCTTTATGAGCTCTTTGGGTACTTGTAGTTTTTTATAGGTAAAAGTCATAGTCCCTGAGGTTTCAGGCTGTTCTTTTCCATTAACAGCTGCTTTATGTTCCTTTAATGATTTCTTTTTGTCTTTCATCTTCTCAGGCTCTTCATTTTTTTCGGTTTTCTTTTGTTTGCCATGTTCTTGAATCTGTTCCATCACACTATGGCATGTAGAGACTAGATCTTTTAGAGGTTCATCCCTGCAAACATAGCAGTGCCACTTGGAGTTTTCATCTGTGATAAGAGATAACTCTTTTCGGCCCAGGTTTCGCAGGATACACTTCTTACAAAAAGCATTACTGCAGTAGTCACAACAGATGAGCTTCCCTCCCTCAGCACACCACCTGCAAAAGCAAATTATGCAAAGTTAACTCAGCAGACTGTCTTACACAAAAATGTAGTACATGTGTCTGTGATGTGTCTGGTCAGCTGATTTACACAGAACCACTCTGAGAAAGGCTGCATGTGAGCAGTCGAAACTGTCAAAAAAAAAACCCAAAAAACTAACAAAAATATATATATATATATATATATATATATATATATCGGAAAGCAAAATGAACCTCAGTGGGCTGTTAGATTTAGTTACCCATGGAAGACAAGATGTGTGCTGTAGAGAGTTGAATTCATATATCTCCAACTCATTATAGACATTAACTACCTAATAAAGTGTTTCACTGTGCCATTTATGTTTTGCAGCTCGTACTTTAATGGCATACATTTAGAAAAGGCTCAAGGGGGATTTTTGCTGAGTTACTATGTCAGTGGCACTAAGTAGTTTCAATATTATTGTTTATCATAAGATTTCCAGGAGCAATAGATCTCACTTCAAAATTTGTTATAATGGCAGGCCTACACCCAGCCCCATGCATTTTAAGTAGAAACATTTCAGACCTGCATTGTTCATCCATTCCATCCGAGTCCTTGCTGATGTCATCACTCGAGTAATAGTTGTAACAGGACTAAAAAGACATTATGACCAATCTGAACATGCATTTGATTCAGCAATGTATTTTACAGATGTTTTATTTCCTACCTTACAAACAAGAACTTTGAGCACAGGGTGCTCATACACAGAATTTGATTGAAACTGATTCACTTGTTTCCCACAGCCTGTGCAGCTAACCTTTTTCGAGAGGGCTTCATCTGTAAGAGACAAAACATTAAATTGAAAAAAGTTGAAGAATGCCCACATGTGCACAGTTGGCAAAAGGAAATTACCCTTTTGCTTTTGTTTGAAATCCACCCTAAGCTTCATAGGTGCTTTATTCTCATTTCCAGTAGGCTTCATTACTACAGAAGATAAGTAAAGATTAATTAGCAAATATTTCTACATCAACAGTATAGCCATACGTACCTTTTGATGAGTTTGATTTATTCTTTTCTGAAGGATTGTCAGAAGTGGCACCTTCGTTTCCACTTTGCTCAGAGGTATCAGACTTGGTCTGCTTTGTCATTGTCCTGGATTTTCTAAATAATTACAAACATTTGTGTCCAAAAATTCAATCAAAATGCAAGAATTTACAAATTAACAATGTGCAAGGTACAATGATTGTAACCTCTTATGACGTGAAGAGGAAGGCTTCATAGTTTCTGAACTACAAGGCTGCTGAGAAAAAAGTGGGGGAAATGCATTAATATAACATGACAAGTAGGTTAGACATAGCACTTACATACTTTGTGATCTTTTGAGCATTAATCTAAAATGCCTACCTCCTCTATTTCAGTCATTTGACCCAGATTCTCATTCATTTTACCTAAACCAAAGTTTAGAAAAGTTATTGGCAACAAAAACTTATGAACAACAGCGTTATAAAATCTGCATTAGCCATCTACGGTACTCTAAAAAGTGGAATTTGTAATACAGGTGTTTTAAACTGGTCGATATCTTAATTCAGAAAACATATCCCCATTTTCTGAGGGCTCACAAAACCGTGAGGCGTGCTCTGTTGTTTATTTTCCCGTTTTGCGTCATCATAATGTGCTGATTACATCTGAGCTGCGCTGAGCCGCTGCTCGCGTGCCATTCATATTCAACTGTGCAACGTGTGTCAGTGAAATAAGCACATTAAAACTAAGCGACACTGTAGAAGTTCTATTATTTACAATGTACGTAAGCAATGTTTTGATTACATCAAATACTCACCATCCCAAATGAGGCTCAGTGCCATTAGCATTTTTGAGTAGACTAGAGTGGTGGTGTCATTAATATATCTGGTGACGACATAATATAATATAATTTTATGTAAATCATAAAGTCCAATGTGTAGTTCGCGACACAACATGCATGCCCAGGGCCAGGTTCCCGGTCCTCTGTGCCGAGACATGAAGCAGAGCTAACTCTTGGCACCAACTGTTAGCACCAAAACTAGCTATATGCATTGTGAGCACCGCAGAACAAGTAATGAAATCGTGCTTTCTAGCATTAAAGTGTGGATCATAATGCAAGACTAGGTGTCATTGCGTGTCTGTGCAAGTTTATCGGGAAGTGAAGGTAGAATAATAACATTGCCGGTTGCGCAGCTAAAAGTCAGCTAACCTGCTAAGCTTGGTAGCTGAGCTGCACTCATGGCCCGGCTTTAAGCTAGCAAATGTAGCTCTGTGAGCAGCCCATTAAATATACATATAGGCTATGCAAACACTGCGAACTGTTATCTTACCCAGTTTATTTTACCCTATGCAAACACTGAACTGTTATCTTAACAGTTTCTGATTTCTGAGAGTGCGGAGACTGATCTTGTGATGTAAATAAAAGCGTTGTCTGTGTTTCCGATGTCGCGGAAGCAAAGGGAGCCTCTGATAAACGAAAGCTCTCCAGTTACAGGAGACAAAGCAGGAGGACCATCTTGCCGGATGGCGGTGGACGCAGTAAAATGGCGCATCAGCCTAAAGCCCATGTGCTTTCTCATTGGCCAGTTGCTTCAGATGCTCTGCTCTCCTCACATAGGATGAAAGTGGTCTTTGATGCTACAATGTTTTAATGTTGTATCTAAAGATTATAAATGATCAGTGTGAATTCAATTTGGTAGTGAATGGCAAGCATTGCAAAATTCACCCTATTAAGACAGACAAAAAAAACAAAAAAAAAACAAAAAAAAAAAGAGTGATACTCAAACCCAAGAATAAAAAGGTTAATGATACAATGATTCCACTAGGCTATTACAACTAATAAATCTCCACATCTTATTTGATGTCAGAGGTTGACTCAAAATAACACATTATGCTCCCACACAAGCAGTTGACGTTTACTTTTGACATGTCATTTGGGGAAATACCTCATTCACTGACTTTAACTGTATTAGTCCAGATATGGTATATATGGTATATATTTGCAATGTATAAAAATAAATACAAGAGAGTTTCTGTTCCACCTTAAAATAAACAAAGCAAAAATTATAACAAAAACTGAGTGTTTACCATTAGGTTGATATATTCCACTATGATTAGGAGCAAATAATAGTGAAACGATTAAAAGCTTTCCATGAAGTGGTGTCCATCCATATTTGGTCTTTTCCTCTGATGTATCTAAATGCTGTGGTTTATAAGTGAGAAAATTATGCCTGTGATCAACACTTTCAACCTAGCTGTGGACCTCTCCTCTCCGCTGCAGTGCTACCGGTCTTTAATTATGAAGAAACTCATTATTTACACTTTTGGGCTCATGCTTTGCACCATAGGTCTACTTAATGCAGTACCAATTAATCTTCTGCTTAAAGCAATTAAGGAAGAGGTGCATAACTTGACCAACTCAAAGAATAACAACACAAAGGTAAGACAACTCTTGATCTCATCTGTGTTGTGTTTAACAGATAATAATCCTACACACCATTTTACTTGCAAATTGTGAATTCTTTAAGAGCACTTCCCCTATCTGCCCAATGAAGGCCTAGTGCTGAAATGTTGATGGCCTAATAAAATTCATAATTTGCAACTATGACTGTGTGCAGAATTTTTCTGTTAATATTCTTGGGCTGCTCCCTTTCCTCAAACACACCTTTTCCAAGAAATTGATGTGCAAAGTTCTCATTCATTCGTCTGTGCTGTGTTTAAAATGCTGACAATTTTCTTGTCATAGAAACTACTACAGGAATCTGTGCACGCAATACGGATTAGAAGAAATAATTGTCCGGTAATGATTGTTCACCTTTAAATATGTTATTTAATTGTGAATTGTGACAATTGTTTTTTTTTTTATGTCTTTTGTAAATGTATTTTTGTATGTCTTTTACAGAAGGAATTCTTCTGTCTTGCTGAGAAGTCCCTGGAAACATTAAATAACACTCAGTTAAACAAGCTCTGTGTTCTTTTGAAAAACTACAACCACATGGTAATGTTCCTAATTAATTAGATATAATGTTAATACATTGTTGTGGTGAAGTCTAAATTGTGTACACCTATTTCCACTATGTGCATTTATGTCCTAATCTTTGTTACAGACAGGACAAACATCATGTACGCTTACAAACTCCACTGATCAGATCTCCGTCCGTGAAATGCTGAAAGACATCGGGAATTGTACAAACAAGCAACATTTAAAAAAAAATCACAAAATAGTGGTTATATAGTAGGCCATGTGTAGTTAACACATGTACACATTGTATTTATCTGTATTTAAAGTTTAAATTATTTTATTACAAATGGTATTTTTATATTTCTCAAAATAAAGCATAAAGTCAGTTGACATTGTCAAGTTTCTTTTTTTACACCAGACTTGAGAGCTTAAAGATAAAGCTTATTACACTAATAGGAAAGGCAGCAGTTGGGGATATTACCTATTTATTAACAAAGCAAGTGTGAGATAAAACATAAAAATAATTTAATAAATAAATGCTGCAGTATGGCATTTGTAAACATTTGACAGATATATTGCAAAACAAAAGTTGGTTAAAAAAGGAATGTGCCCCCGTCTACAACTTCCAGTGCAGTGGTAGCAGCAACCTGTGTTTGTAATGACAATATAATAAAGAATGTCATGGCACTAACAGGAACGTCTAGCATGCAATATACATTTCACAAAATTCAGACTTGTAAAATAACCATTCAATAGCAATGAGAACCAACTGTTTAAAGGTTGTGCTATAAATGTGTTTGTGTATATGGTTAAGTACACAGTAGCTTAACTGTTCCCCCAAGTGCATATTCAGTTATACAAATAACAGGCTTCAGGTGTAGACATTGTGATTATTTTTTTTAAACATCAACAAATGCTCCTTCACATTTTCAAATAATTGTTACCTAAACTTTCTTTACTGCAGAAGAGATTCGATCACAGCATCTGGCCTTGCTGATCTTTTCCTGTGTAAAGATGAAAGCATGATAATTATTAGCAATGAATTCAGGAAGTGTGTTTGCACTGTTATGCCTAACTTATTGAATTTGTCTCTAGTCTAACACTATATATTATGATAACATGAAATCTGCAGGTTATTATGGAAATAGAGTCTAAGCCTTGGAAAGTTTGTCAAGCATGCAAACAGCAATACAAACTAAAGCTATTAAACTAACTACTAACTTATTTGTGTCAATTAAACTAATAAATATCTACAGCAAAGACATTTGTAAAAGTTTGTCTTATGACGGTCTTATAAAATATGTATATTTTATAGTATACTACCTTCGTCCTGTCTTTGGACGTCCACTTTTACTGTTTTTGGATGTTCTGGGTCTTTCTAGCTTCATTAGTGACTGCCGCATGCTTTCTTCTGTGTATGCAAGGTACACATGGGACAAGTCCACCTCAAATGGCTGAAAATTGTAGAATTACAATTTGTTGACTTGGTTAATGATAAAACTTTCAAGAACACTGACATAAATGGAAAACATACATCTTTTTCTTTTTTGTCTGGTGCAGGGGTTTGTTTTCTCATATTGTTGCCAGTGTAAGCCACACATTTCTGTAATTGAGGTTGAAAAGACAAAGTTAAACAAATTCATTCAGTCACATATTGTGAGTACTATGGTTGAGTTTACTTACCAACTGCCATTCTCCGATGTCTTCATTCCAGTGTACATAATTTTCTATCATCTCCTATAAAATAAAATCAAAAATAAATAGGGCTGGGCAAAAATTTAAAAAATTAATCGCGATTAATCGCATGAGTTCCAGCGATTAATCGCATGTTATACGCAAAACCAATTAATGAATTAAAAAGTAGAGTATAGCGCTCTTTTATTGGAAATGTAAATGAAAGAGTCATACATTTGTTGTGCAAACAGCATTTCTTTCACAGGGGAACCCTCAGAGCCTTCAAGGTATTCAGGGAAGGCTCAAGAAAAAATATTGAATGGACGTTTTTACTACTAATATATTTACTGAATATTTTTTATGCTGTGAGTAATGAACACTACACTAGTAATAATTTCTAGATCAGTGTTATAAACTTGGACTGATATTTCTTAGGAAACAAAGGGTTAATATAATGGAATGGAATGGACAAATCACATTTTTACTTCCAATGGTATCTGGGTAAATCAGTTACTCCAGCACTGAACTAAAGAAATAAGCTCAGCTCAGAGCCGGTGCCCGCGGCTGAACCCGCGGCTGCGTCCACGGCCGGAGCCGGAGCCTGCGACCAGAGCCCGCGGCCGGAATCAGAGCCCGCGGCCGAACCCGCAGCCGGACCCGCTGCATCTCGCGGAGGCTCGGGCACGTTGCATCTCACGTAGTCAGAAAAAAGTGAAAAAAGTGTAAAGAAAAGACGTCAAACTTAAAGAAACGCTCACGGTGGACTTTTTCAAAATAAAAGCCAGTGAGAAACAGACGTTTACAATAAAATAAATAAATACATTTTAAAAACTGCGTTAACGGCGTTAAAATAATTGTCGGCGTTAATGACTTAATTAGTTAACGCAAAGTTAACGCAAAGTTAACGCGTTAACGTGCCCGGCCCTAAAAATAAATCACACTAGCCCAAACATTTTTGTATTTGTTTAAATGACAGTGAACTGCAATAAACCTGGTATTCCTGTGGAATAAAGCTGTCTATGATGAGCATCTGTAGACGCAGCTCTCGGCTCAGCTGACGAATGTTTTCCAGGAGATCCTCAATTTCTCTGTGATGCTCCTGCTGCAAATCAGCCATCTAAAACAGGACACATTGTTTTTAAAAACCTTAAAGATGAACACAACACATACATACCGCAGATTCTTACTTCAGACTTGGCAGCCATCAGCATGGTCCACACTTTCTTTAATTTCTTTGTTTTTCCTTGGGCCTCTTCCTGAAGGCTTGTGTACTTTTCTTCGATATCTAGACGTTCTTGCTGTTGGGAGATTAAGACATTTTAAAGTTAAGGTATTTTTTGTCTTTCTAAGAACATTTTATTTCCCTTATGCTAGCTTCCAATTCAGAAGGCAAAAACATAACTTGTCATTAGTTCAACTTGTATACAACTTGTGCATTTACAAGAGGTTGTATGTATTTAAGCATTGCATGCATTTAGACACAAATCCATAATCAGATATGTCTAATACCTATCACCTCCAGCCACAACTCATCACTAAGATTAAAATCAATTATCAAATGTGGTCATCATCAGGTTTGTAAGATGTCATCACATCCTGTTGGTGCAATACAAGAGAACTGATGTGGAAGTCAAGCATTAAATCAGGGGAGACCAGATATTTCAAATCCCATTTTGTAATTATTTTATTCAGTGCTTGGAGGAAATATTAATCGAAGAAAAAAATACAGCATACAGTATGTTGCCACTTCAGATGATACTATTATATAGTGCTGTTTAGACATGTATCAAATTATCATTGTGGGAGTTTTCTAGGTTGATGCAACAGAGTATTTGGTGCATATGATGCATCATCACATTATAGAATCTGAAAATAACAAAAGAACAAACCTCTTTCTCCTCCAGCTCTTTACGCAGCTGCTCTGCTCTTCTGCGACGTTCCTCCAGCTCATTGTTTGATTCCTCCAGCAGTTTCTCCTGTTCTTCAGCTTTGGCCAAGAGGTCCACCCCACCAACAATGACCCTTTTCTCCAAGTTGGACAGCTTCTCCAGCAGACGATGGTGCTCCTGTCTATTGGAGTTTAACAAGTTTACTTACTACTAATTTATACTGATCCCATACTTGCATTGCAACCTTTAAGTGTTCAAAAGTCAGAAGACATAAAAATATATATAATATACGCACTGAGCTTTGAGTAGGTCTTTTTCCCTTTTCTCCAGCTCTGCTCTGGCCTTGTTCCTTTCCTCTTCCTCCATATCAAGTTTGGCCTCCAAAGCCTTTCGTTCTTCTTCAATCTTTGCCTGCATTTCCACCATCTTGTCAGCAGATACCTTCTTTCTCCCTATCAGAAAAGGTGGTGTGTAAATTGCAGTCAATTTAAACTATCAAACATATAAGCAAACAACATATATAAATAAATTGTTAGACAACTGTTAGTAAAACAAAAGTTAGTTAAAGATCGATGTGAAAATTAGTTACAGTTGCTAATGAATATATAGTTTGCAGTGTAATCTTAAATAATCATAATGTATTAGTCTTATATGGCACGTTTCCAGATGCTCAAACTACCTTTACAATTTTCATGCACTATTCATTAAGATGTTGCTATTGTAGCCACAGCTCCCCTGGGGTAAATGGATGGAAGCAAGGCTACCAATCTACACCATAAGCCCCTCCGACCACCACCAGCACACACTCACATGCCATATTCATACAAGTGGGCAAGGTGGATGAAGTGCCTAGCCTAAGGACACAACAATGGTCTCCCATCCAAGTACTAACCAGGGCCATTCCTGCTTGCAAAATTAAGCTTTGACAAGGAGGTTTGGCCACAACCAAATCTAACCTTAGATTAGACCCTAACCCAAGATTAGACTTGGATCAGATTTAGCCTGTAGGCAGCAGGTTTACACAGCCACATTTCTGCAAGGCACATTCTTAAACCAACCTCTTTCTTCTTCAGTAAAGAGGTGTATAGCGTTTCAGAGGCAGCAATTGAGCCAAAAGGAGAAGAAAGAAGAAGAGAGGCAATGAATGACACATTACACCCAAATATCAATTTGACGACGCAAATTAAGTTTTAACAATGTGCACAGTGTGACTAAGTGAGACTTAGTACAGAAATTACACTACATAAGAATTGCAATGATAACCCTGTGAGACATTGCTGAACGGTGACCAAAATTATTGTAGTGTCACAATGCAAATACATTTTTCTTATCAATAAGGCAGACTGTGTCCTTTTTAGCTTGATCAACTTGAATACTGCTTTTGTATTGCTATTTAAAACACATTGTTGACTACAATAACTGTAATCTGTGGAACATGGTAAAGAAAACCAGTGTGATCAGGATCAGTGAAAGAGATGTGGAACCTCCTTTTGTGTGCAAATGCATATAGTGTTTCAAATCAATATGAAAATAATGAACCCTTTTCACACACATGCATTCATACCATAATACTACAAAACTACAACAATTATTACATACATCTTATTGCCAATGTGTCTGTATTTCCCATGAGTGTAATAGGCTTAAGATTGGTTGAGAAACAACAATTCCTACTCACGAGTCAGAGGTTTAATCTCTGAAAGAAAAGATATTGAAAGCAAAAACTCTGAGTAACTGCTCCTGTGTAACACTGAAATAGAGAGGTACAGAAAGGACCATGCCATTAGTCTCAGTAGATTGTTTTTAGGTGAGACTAACAAATAACAACATTGTGGTGTAATTAGAAGGTTCAACAGATTTGCAATCATATTGAGTCATTATAGTTAATAGTTTTTCTTTGAGATCGGGCAGATTATATTGTATACAGATATATTGTCCTCTAGTACATGTTTTCTTCTTTTTTCAATGTTCCCTAGTTATATCATGTCTGTCTGTATGTAAATGCGGAATCCTTCTCTAAACCTAATTTCTCCATGAGGAAACAAAATAAAAATCTGAAACCTCAGATACATGCCTAAAATGACAGTATTTTGGAAATCCCCGGGTCCGGAACTAGTTAAATGATAAAGCATGCTAGGCCAAGACTGGTGTCTAAACCTTAACCTCAGATTGAGATCATCTTCTCAACTTTAGTCAGCATCTTAGACTCGTACTAAAACATATCATATACAGATAGGAAAACTAAGTAAACAGTCACAGGAACCAAACTAACATGACTCACCTCGTCTCCTTTTACGACCTTCTCCGGCTTCGCCTGTTTCATCTTCACCTTCATCCATTTCTTCAGATCCACTTCCCTCAGAGCCTGAGATCTCCTCTCCTACAAATGTACACCACATGCACAGCACAACATAATTAACTTGCACAAGCAGGACACTTCTCTACTGATGTGCATTCAAAATACATGCCAAGAATGACATTATTACAGGTCAGTGGAAGTAAGTTGCAGAACTACCTTCCTCAAGCTTCTTCTTTAATTCCTCAATTTCTTTCTGAAACTGACGCAGTAGAGCATCTTTAGGATCCTCATTGATCCTGGCTTTGTTCTTGATATTTTTTGCCCTATTGGCATAGCGGAGTGTGCTAATGGTCTCATCATAATTGTAATCAGCAGGGCCTATATTTGCACACTATCGGATAGAAAAGTAGGTCATAACATGAGAAACACCATTCCAGTAGATGCAGCTTACTGTTGTCTATGTTTATATTTTTCACATTACCATCATGGTTTTGGAGTTGCCGCCCAAAGAGTCCTGTAGAAGGCGTGTCAATTTAGAGTTCCTGTAGGGCACATGAGTGCTCTTGCCATCCACCAGAGCAGAAATGACATTACCAAGAGTAGAGAGAGACAGGTTGATTTTGGTGGCTTCTTTCAACCTCTGACCTGTAGCACCGGTTTTACCCTGTCTTTCTGAACCCTGTGTTGGCAAAGGGACAGATGAAATGCTGAAAAAAAAATATTATACTTGGAGGACAAAAAGTACATACAGCAAGATCAACCAGATGAAGCTTCCCCATGCGCACATGCTGATCTCCATCAACACCCTTCTCACTGCACTCAATAGTAATGGTGAAGATGGCGTGTGAACGAGAGCTGTGTTCATTCATGTTGGTTGCTCCAACTGACCCTAAGAAACAAAATACAACAATAATCCAATTAAAATCCAACAATTGTCAAATCTCATTTACAAGACCTCATGCAAGACCATGTCTGCAAAGCTATTAAAAAAAAGCTTGAGGTAAAAATGCTCACTGTTTTTGTGTCCAACTGTCATAATTCTATCCATGCCATCCGCATTGTTGACAACATAACCAGGCAAATCCTTAATATACACGCCAACATCTGGTCTTTCCTTTACCTGTTATGATAAATTGCTCAATAATAAGGCATGATTTCAAACAAGTATATATGTAACACAAAACAGTTTACCTCAAGGCGCTGCGTCTGATCTTTACCAAGTAAATCTCGCACCTCTTCATTGTAGATTTCAAGGTATGAAACACGAACCAAAAACCTAACCATTTACAACAAAATGTATGAAAAATAAAAAGTCATAGTTACTACTACCTAACCCTGCATTTTGTTTATACCTTGTATCACCCTCTGCCTTTGCAATGTGGCCAAATATGTGGGCAAAGGAGTTTGGTATAATGCCTCTGAGTTCTGGCACAGCTCTCACACCTTCCATGGTAAAGGTTTTTCCAGTCCCTGTTTGTCCATACGCAAAAATGGTGCCTGAAATGAATACGGAAGTGCAAATGAAAGAATTATAGAAAATTCTATATTTCCAACATTTTGAATCAATTCTTGTATATAAGTTTTATTTTCTTTGTAGTTATAATATAAAAACATGGACTGTAGATTTTCGAAAATTAAATTAATACCATTATATCCTTCCAATACTGAATCGATAATGGGACGGGCAGTAAGGTTGTAGACATCCAGTTGTTTGCTGTCTGGTCCAAACACTGTGTCAAAGGTAAAGGTCTTGGGGGGCTCATTGGGAGTTTCCAGCTTGTTAACAGTGATTGTCCCCCGGATCTCGTCCACAATAACGGCCTGTTTGTGCCCCATCATCGTCTCTTTTTGATTGAGGGGGCGGCATCGGACCACCACTTTGACATTGTCACTGACCTCCTGCCTTTCGAGCTTATTACTCTGGAATAAAGACGAACATTAAATTAGGTCTGTGGTTGACCCAATTCATTAAACTGTGTGAAAAAGGTAAACGATATCCATTTGTATAAACACGGACAGTGGAAGATATTCTAAAACAGTGGCACACTCATCATTCCCCTCGTTTCCCGTTTATTGGTTGCTAGGCAAACCTAGCAAACCGTCAATGTGTTACACGAAAAAGTTAATAAGACTACTTGTTCACAAACACTGCAAACAATGTGGAAAGCGTACATGTATAATATAAAAGGAATCCGATGTTATTGAGTAAATGTAATCATTTCCAGCGATTTTATATGATTAGGCTAACTATGCTAGCCGGGTAGCTGCAGCAGCAGCTTCGATGAATCGGAGAAGGGAGGAGCCCTTCAAGCAAAACAAATTCAAAACAGTGCGTGCTTATACTTACCGGCATTGTTAAACGTCAATGTTATAGCGTATATGAAATGTCAGGATGATGCTATTTTGTTGACGCTGCGTTTTACCCAGAGAATGTAAATGCTCGTTGTTAGCGACGACGGACTGCTCCCATCAGCGCATGCGCAACAGTGAGTGCGGGTCCACCATGGTCTGGGTGTTGTGAGCCTGATCAGCCAGTCCCTCCTGCTTTCTGCTTTGGCTGGCCAGGCAAGAATGTTGAGGTCGAGAACATTTCTTCCTTAAAGCAGTGTTATTATTTAAACAATAAAAATCAGCATATCAAAGAGAAAATTACACACAAGAGAATATGCATAAACCATGGTTGTAGTTTTATTTACAGAAATTGTATTTTTTAATAGGCTTTCTGTAGCTGGACAAAGGCACTCACCAAGCACTGATAATATGTAGGGAATTTAGATGGGATTTATGTGCAAAATGTGCATGTGTAAAGAATAAAACACAAATCCATGGAAATAAATATAACATACACTACATCGTACAACTTATAGACACAGCACACCATGATGCACGCAATACAATCAGTGGGATTTCAAATTGGCAGCATTAATTTCTTTGGAACTCATAGTGTCTCATTGTTTACTTATGCAGACCTCTTTGGCAGCTTGACAACAAAAATTTTATATTTTGATAGCAGGTAAACACTATCAGTCAGCTGAGTCTCTCCAGTACTTGAAGGATGTTTTTTTGGAACAAGCCTGTGTGTCCACTGCTTTCCTGTGTCACAAGGAAACGTCCATCAGGCCGCGGTCTGTGGACCAGTACAAGCTCTCCTTGAACTAGAGTGAGCTCAGAGTCCATCTGTGCTAAATGAGTTTTGGTCACTCTGTGTCTAAGGAAAGAAAAAACAGAAATGAATATGAAGCATTGTTTATGTATTTTGATAAATCAAGGAAAATGTGTAATGAGTAGCGTGCCAGCCTAACATGACTATTGCCCTGCAAAATCAAAACTATAGCATTCATAATAACATGTGAAATAGATATAAAGTATATACTTGCAAATAATGGTTGACCAAATGAATAATATGGTATCATAAAAAAGAATACTAAAGTATTAAGGCACCTGGTGGGGCTAAATTGAGCTGACACAGCAGCAAACGATGGCTGGGGCAATACTGAAGCATTTGAGTTCAGATCTGCAGTAGTTGTTTCCAGGCCTTTTCTGAAAATAGCTTTTCCTTCTTTCAGGATTATCCCTGGTCCATCTCTGCCCAGTGTGAGTGATGGCGCCCATATTTCCAGAGGAGAGACCCCAGACTGGGTACTAGATGCAACCTGTCCCGCAGACCAGGAGGAGGTGCGTCTTCTTATAGGTGGGGATTCTTCATCAGTAAGGAAACGCACTGACTTAGCAGGCTAAAATGCATATCATAATAACAAATTATCTTTGGGTAGCTGCAATTAAGATCTACTACATATTTTAATAGTCAAGGCACTAAATATTCTTTTTACAAACCTTTTCTCCTAGGTTTCTAAGAGAGTCAGGTCTAACAAGGATAGATTGTGGAGCAGTAGGTGGCTGCTGAAATGCTGGCTCAAGTGCTGGAGAAAAGTCCCTGTCTTTGTGATAAGCAGCAGAGGGCGCTATTGACTCACTCATCCATCCAAATGGTCTGACACAGTTGGTCAGGATGTTGATGTTCTTCTTTCTCTGCAAGGCTGGTGAGTAGCCAGATGCTTGAACTTGAGCAAAGTGCCTTGTGTTGGATGGGCTATTTGTATTTGACATTTGGTTGAACTGATTTAACCCTGGAATGAAAAGTTAAGTTAATAAGGCATTATCTAGAAATAATTGCCCTTGTAATGGTTGAGCTGATTTAATGTATAATGTGCACTAGAATTTATAACTAACCCATATAACTATAACAACAAAATACTGCCAAAAGGTGCCCATTTTAAGTTTGTATTATTTGCTCCAAAATCTTTTAAGTCCTTACCTCTGTGTGGGTTGAAAATGCGCCTAACAGTGTCCCAACCCTGAGAACCCCCGTGAAAGGACCCTTTTCCTGTTGATGATATAGTATGCTGTGCTCCATTGGGTACAACTGGAGTTTGTCCTGCTGGGTATATTGTTCCATCAGCATTTACTTTATCAAGGGCAAGTACCACAGCAGGGTTCCTAGCAGCTGTGGGTTTCCTCCCAGCTAGTGAGTTGTATTGTGACGAGGCACTGGCTACTTTCGTCTCAAAAAGTTTGGCAGATGTTCTACAAAAAACACACAAATGGGAATTACTGACACTTTTTAATGGAGTGCATTGAACATCAACTTATATTATCTGTCCACCAAAAAAACAATAAATCTGAATATATTTACATTATACAGCCAAAGATCATGACCATTTACCTCAGCACAGGCGTTATATAGTTACTTGGTAAAATGCCCACTTTGCCAGTTCGTAAAGATAGCCCACGGAGCCAGCCTTCTTTAAACTTGCCATATACTCCCACCATTTCTCCTCTTCTCAGCTCCAGCTCTTCTGGACGCCGTGGTTTATAAGAGTAGAGGACAGCACAACTAAGGGATCAAAGGCAACATTTATTACTACAAACTGTAAAATTTTCTAGTCAGTTAACTGATTAACTATGGTTATTCTGTTGTCCATTAACACATTTTTCAAAAACATTGAATATGACTCACACACTGATGGAAAGCTGCTGTGTGGAGGAGTGTATGCCGTCGGCTGATGACATTTGAGGGTTCATCAGTGTCAGAGTGGGTGGAGCCTCATTGGACATCCTCTTATCACTCTATTGATATTAAAACAAAAAGTCAAATATTGATTGCAAAATTCGAAGATGTTGTGATTAAGCTGGCAGATTTGTCTTATAGAATGCATTTACATAAAGTAAAATAATACAGTTGTCAAAATGAGTTTTTTATATACATTAGTTTAAGGGGTTCATTACCTCTCTTGATTACTTTATGGATTAAAGTAATCTCAAGTAATTTCAAGCATAATATGCTTGAAATTAGGTTCAACTGTAGCCAACAAAATAATACAAACTTTTTTTTTCTTTTTTTTTTACATTTAGAGATCAATAAAGTATATTTCAGTTTAGTATTTTGTTCCCACTGCTTCTATGTCACTGTTTACACCACACACTCTCTTGCTCTTATTAACATTGGTATAGAAATAAGGTTTTCTTCTACAACTTTCACCGTGATCAGGGAGGCTATTGGCTATCGGATATTGGTTTCCAAATATTGGCTTAGCCAATATCCTGGCCGGACATATAAATCGCTCTAATAATGCTATTTATCACAGTTGACCCAGAAAGTCTCAGAATGTTTGAATTTTTATTTACCAGTTTTGTCTTATTTTATTTTTGTTTAAAGGAAATACATGCTGTTTTCTGTCTCTTCTCTGAATAATGGAATCTGTATTGGAACTGAAAGCTGGATCGGTCCATCTATAATCAGTGAAGTCAGGGATTGCTGCATGCACTCAGTCTCAGCCGTGGGCAAAAGAATCATTCTATAGAATACGCTACACATCAATGCATCATCAGTGCATCAGAAAGGCACAATAGAATGGCAGAAGCCATGATATAAGATTTATTTTACAAAATTAATGCTGAGGAGAGAAGAAAGTATTTCATTTAGATCCATACAGATGCAGTAACATCTTGTTTACCGTTTATGTATTCACAAAAGCAACACAAGAAAGAATACACTCACAGCAAACACACTCATATCAGTCAAGCTCAAACATGCTACAACTGTATTTTTCCATGTTTTTTTGTTTTTTTTTGTTATGTCACACAGTGTACACAGCCATTTACCTAAACCTTGTCTATAAAAGCCCATAGTGTTTAAATATTTATTCAGAGGCTCTTAACTCCTCTTTTATTTTTGTATTTTTGAAAAAAAAGACCAGGTTTTCTGGACTGAGCAAACCTACATTTGATCATACATAATCATAACATGGAACACAGAACTATTACAGAAGTTTGACAAAACTTTACTAGACTGATTTAATGTTTGAGAACTGAGACAGGGCTGCAGTGATTTTATATGGTGCAAAATTCAATAAAAGACAAAACCAAAACAGTTAATGACACACAGAGATGCAGCAATGTTTGGGCTTATGGTATCATATATTATTTATTTATTTATTGTACTACTGACCCTGTTGCATTAAACACAAGCGGAAACAGTTGTGCTGAACTGTTTTTTTGATTAAGTGTAATCATCTGCAGAATTGAACGAACAGTAACATATAATATATTGATCACGAGGGTATACAGTGTCAAAGTGGCATTGCTAAACAAGTGGTTTATTAAAAGCAAAACTTTATCTAATTATTATCATTGGTGGGAAACTAACAATTGAGTCCAATGTAAAAGTCGTTAATGAGAGATACCTACATATCATCTATAATAAGGTCGATTCTGAGGTTTAGTTAACAGCAGTATCATTTGTAACAGAGAAGTGCATGGGAGCTCCTGTTACTGCTCTAATGATGAGAGTTACCTGATAAGTGAAGAAAAAGGAGCAAGGCACAAAGGGGTCTGTTATGTAACAAATCTCAGCAGTGACTCATCATCATCATCATCATCATCAGTACAGAGATAAACAAACACTGAGGGGCTCTCAAAGCCTCCCACTCACCACATCCAGTTCTGTTTTACTTATCTCCACCTCATTTGTTTTTTATGACTTTTTATAGGTCATATTTTGATCCCTTTTTATTCTTTAGTATTCCTACAAAATGTAAAATACAGTTGAAAAACATGATATCAAATTACAGGGAATAGTGTTTATAGTTTTTTTTTAATTATGGGGTTTATTTGTTCCTGATTAATTACTGTGTATGATTTTTGCTCTGTTTTGCCTAAGTTTTGTTGCCAATGTTTTATGAAATCCCTCGAAAAACAAAAGAAAAAGTACCTATACTGTTTTCACGCCATTTGTATAGTCATAATTTATTTTGGCTCATCTCCCAGTTCTGATTCAAAACCTTTGAAAGTTTCTGAATACCACTCACACCTTAAACTCAAATGTTTCATACCTACAAGTTTCTCTGTTTTTCCACAGCCACCACATCACATAACAGCCAACTCTATGGGCGATGCCTTTTACTTGTCCATTCCTTAAGCTTTCTGTCACAGTTTCCTCCTTGTTTCCTAGTAACACTTCAGTTTTTTATTGACTAAAGGAAACATATTACATCACAAAGAACTAAAGAACTTTAGCCAAACACATGTTTTCACTTTATATTTAACTGAAGCAAAACAAAGGCTAGCCTAGTTTATACGCACTGGAGCAAGGGAAGGGCTAAGCCATATGACAAGAATTTTTTGTCTTGTCAATGTTAATTTTCTAAACGTAAACAACAGAGCTCGGAATCACATGTCTAAAAGTGACTGTTAAGAACAAAATCTGCAAAATCTGCAGTGTCAGTCATCGATAGATATGCATTAGGCAAAACAATGTTACAAAATAAACAAAACAGTAGCTGCTTGGTAATTGATGGTCAGTCTATGTTGTCAAAAAACTTTAAAATTAACGTCAAGTTTAGTATTTAGAATTTTAAAATCTCCCTTGGTTTAACATTAGATTAACTAATTGTGTGACAACACAATTCCAAGCTCTATACAGATTTCTAAAAAAGTGCAATTTAATTCTCTAAAGTCTGAACTCCAAATCACAATACCAATTCACGAAGTGACTGAGTGATTAAATGCATATCTCTAACAAAGAGTGAATAAAATGTATGAGAATGAGGTGTACAAATTGTGACCCACCTGTGACAGACGTCTGTGTGAATTGTCAGAGTGACGTCTTCGCTGAGAGTTCCCTCTGGACGGATATGAGTGGCTTCCAGCTGCTGTGGGAACAGAGCGGTGGTGATGACTCTTGTGGTTGAAGCTGTTGATGGCAGCCCCCTCACCTTTGGATGTATACAGGTTATTCCCAGTGGCTGTGGGCTGTTTCCGATGGTTAGAAAAGGTCTGAGCATTAACAATAGATGTCTGTCCTGAGATTTGAGGGGGTCCGATGTGAGTGGTCCTACTTGATGCGTCAATGGCCTTGCTTTTGCTTCCACTGCTGGTCCAGTATTGGGATTCTTTTGAGTCACTTCCCTTTCGACCTTTACCTTCAAGTAGTTTTGAGGTCACTGAATTTGGCTAAAAGAAATGAAAACATATGGAAAAAGTACAGTGAGAAGTGAGAATGAATACTAAAAAAAGTACATCAAAGAAATCTTCTCTCCATCTGAATGCTGCCTATCTAAAGACTTCTCCACTTCCCTACAACTTGTTGGATGGGCTGTCAGGCATAGGGATAAGTACCCTTCAAATGAGCCAGGAAAGGCTGACTGGTGCTCAGAGAGGAGCAGCAGCAGGATCTGTGAAACGCAGAGCTCCACAGACAGGCATGGCAGGGTTAATGCTTTCACTCCCTACAGTGATGTGCTGTTATGCCACCCAAGCAGAGAAAGCATTACTGCGTCTTCACGCCTGGCTGCACCACACAAGGAGGCAGGCTCAGAGAGAGAGACACAAGAGCACGATGGAGGGATAAAATACAGAGACGGTGCAAAGCAGTAACTGCAAGATGAGTAAAATATGGTCCAAACCTGTGCGAGGAGGTAAACAGGAAACAAGTCAGGATGTACATTAATGTAAATTCCCAAACAGTACAGAGGGAAGCAAATGTCACTTTGGAGACAAAATCCTGCAAACCCGACTAAGCCAAAGAGTCACTACACACTAATGAGCAGCAGCAGAATCAACAGGGCTCTTTGTCTCAACAATTTGTATCAAACAAGTGACATTTACAGATGAATCAAATATTTAAATAAAGACCAAGGTAGTGTCTGTGCATTGACCTGGAAATAATGGCATCCAGCCATGGCAGTTCACCACAAGAGCCACACTATCAGAGCAAAGTGCCAAACCATGGATGTCAACCTTGATCATGGTGAAAAGGCCATGATCCACAATATTTTAGAATTAAAGAGAAGAGAAAGACAAAAAACAAAAAGGAATGTAGTAATCACACTAGGAACAAAGTACTAACCTCTAGAAACTGCAGAGGGCAAATTCCAGCTTTGGCCCCTAGCTTGGCTTCAATCCAGTGTTCATCCACTCGTCTGATAAAAGTGAGGATATCTCCCTAAAATATTAAGAAAATAAACAGCCAAAGGAGATGAAACTTTGCTAAACTCACATCACATAATTTTCTGTCTTCAGGCAAGACCTTTCACTAACCAGCCTAACATCCAACCATGTGCCATTAAAAGCTTATGCTTCAGCTTTCTTTAATGGAAAGCAAACCCATAACTGAGCTCCTTACATAACACTTGGAGAATCCTTTAGGCTAAGTAAGAGTCATAGCAGCAGAGAAAGGACAAACAGCACTGGCCATTAGAGGAAGCGTCTCATGCATTTCAAATCCATGTTCATTCATTCGCTCCACACAGTTGTGTTAAAAAAGACAGATCTTTTACTACAATTTCTATTCAAATCATTGTGTTGTACACATTATTTTAATATTAGGAATGATAATTGACTAATTGACTAATTGACTACGAACAAACTACTATTCCAAATTAAAAATTAATAAATGGTAAAAATGTGTCGGTATAATCCTTGATTTTCTCAGGACCGGTCCATAGTAAAAAGGTTTCAAAGGTGTCATTGAGGATCTACACCTACATCTTGACACACACTTCTACACATTTTTTTCTAAAATGGTCATAATTAGGCTACAATTCACAATTCAGACTGTACACGAGGAATTTCACTTTTTTATGCAACTATGGGCAACATTTTGCTTTTCATGATGATATTAATTTATTGGCCATATATTTATAATGATTTGACAGTGAGAATAGACATATTTACAAAGCACATATAGGCTCTCTTTCTTAAATGTCACCTAAAAATAATCAGGAATCCTGTCATTTAGCTGATAAATATTAATACTTCCCACCATCACATCTCACTCCCCATAGGCAGATACTCTGCTTCCTTTTACATTTCTCACTAATCTTTTGCATTTGAGGCCACTGTGAAAAGCTATAGAACAAACTCAAGTACCTGACAAGTGTTCTGGTGAATGAATGTTATAGAAACAGACCTTGAGGAAGGCGAGGCAGTACTGACTGTCCTGCAAGTTCATCTCTTGAGGGCTGAAATCAGAAAGTGCTCTGCATAAAGGTGCCAAGCCACTGGGGGCACTGCTGCACACCCTTCTGCTGTCATTGGGGTTTCCATAGTCCAAGTCTTCATCTGCCAGGGACACTCCATTTCCAGAGATAAAGACGGAGTCACTCATCAAAACTCTACGTTGGTTTTGCAATGAAGATCTAGCAGAAACCTGTAGGTCATAAACACAGATCTCTATTAATGCCCTGGATCAGGTATTAGTGGAAATGAGTAAGTAAATATAGATTGAAACAGAATTCCCTTTACACTGTATAGCCCAAAATCACAATAGCAGGTCCTCAAAGGGCTTTTGATTGAGCTCAGAAGCTTTGGTCTTTTTCTTAATGGGATAAAATCTCCTAAAATGCACTAAAATTAACCTCTTGACCCATTTTAACTACCTTTAAAAAAAACAACTTTTCCACAGCATTTTGTATTTTCAAGCGTTTAGTGTTTTGTTTTCTGCATAATAGAAGATATGGGATCCAATAGCAACAGTGTACAATGTCACATCACTCACATCACATTTCAAGATGTAGGAGGAGATAAAATGTGTCAGTGTGTTTGATTCACCATCCATCTGTGCAATATTCTCAAATATTTTAACCAGATTTTTCTATTTAAGTCAACAAGACTTCACTGAGGAGTTATGCCAGATGGTATTAAGGAATTAACAAAACAGCTACATCACTCAGGTCTTGGATAACTGGATGCATACAGACCCGAACAACAAGGATATACAATAAGTATGAGTGTAGCTGATATTGTCAAAATTGAATATCTCAATATTTATGGGACAATTGCGCACATCACAAAGATAATCAAACAAAAATGTGCCAAACTTTTTATTAAATGTCTTGGCTGAGGCTCAGGTATTGCACAAGGGTTAAAATAAAAAAAATATTTATGCTTCCATATTTGAAACACTCCATATCCTAAAAAAAACAAAAAAAAAAAAACAATGTTACATGATAAATATTTCATATCTCTTTTAACTCTATACAAAATCATTGTTTTAATATGTTTCAACCACATATTTTGGCTCCAGATAAGTTAATATGTAATTAAAAAGATAAATATGATTAGTTTTGTGTTAAATAGGTCCTGCTTGACAATAAAAATATGCTGGCATTTTTGAGCATCATAATTTTACATTACAGCAGCACAGTGTAAAGTTTAACTGTAAAGCATGTGGCAGGCATGCAGTATGGAGCTAGAGTTAAAGCTGAAGTTTGGAACATTCCCCACAGTGACGGATGCATTTCATGCAATACTGTGGAACACTCCAGGCAAAGAAATAACATAATCATGAAGACAAGCAAGTGGAGACTAAGCAAGTCTGCTAGAATGCTTGTTTTTCAAAATTTCTATTTAAAACTCTGAAAAGGCATTTTTGGCTGAAATGTGACAGAGTGTAGCTTTTAGCTGATTACTCATATCTCAAGTTACTACAAATATAGGCCTAAGCTACAATTTATAAATGAATTTCATCTTCATTAATCTTGCTGACCTCTGTTCTCTACGAAATTTATTAATATATTACAGTTGTTTTTTCTGATTGGTACAAAGTGTTTAGAACTGTTCACTCAAGGTATTCAAAGTTGAACCACTATATACTATAATGCTATACTGCTATAATAAACATTTTATAAAAATATCGCTGCAAATAGGACTCTTGAGTGTTGGTGATTTGTTGTTATTTTGAAGTAAACTTCATAACTGTGATGGGGGCTGGACTCACCTCACTCTGGCCTTGCTTGTCCCTGTGCCCATAGCTTTCTAACTGCATTCCTTCAGTGTCTTCAACTCTGGGCTGGGAGAGGGATGAGGGCACATTGTAATGGGGCATCAGTGTGATCTTTGTGGGCCCCTGGGTGACCTGCAGCTGCTCCAGAAGTCGCACAAGCATGAGGTTAGTGGGGAGCTCCTCTGCTGTCCGTACAAGGGCCGGTGTTTGGCACTCTGGGCACAGCAGCTGGGGGTGCACCTTCTCCTGTCTTTGTAAACAGGATTTACAGAAAGTGTGCTGGCAGGGCAGGACCTTAGCTGATGCGTCTAGCTGTTCCAAGCACAGGGGACATTCCAACAGGGCCATGAGAGACAGTTCCTCCATTTTCATAGGACCAACTCTGTTTGGGACTATTCCAGGTACATCTGAGACAAAGTGATCCAGCATGTTACGGCTATTACAGAAAACAAGCAATGGGAGAACAACATTAGCTTGGATTTGCACTTATGTTCACTTATGTCACTAAAACCAAAATCTCACCACACATCTCACAAACTTTTAACGCGGAATAACAACTATGTAGTACTAGACGTGCCACAGGTGTCGTGTCTGTCTGTCACTTACCTGGCTGCACAGGTAAGACCGGGGTTTTGCGACACGCTGTATCCGTTTAGCAACACAGCAAAACAGAACGTACAAATGTACACTTACATGACGTTTGTTGGACGGCAGACAACTGTTTTGTCTTATACTCTCTGATTAGAAAATGTCTAACTTCTTCACGTCAACGTGACGCAGAGTGGAGGACGGAAAGCAGAACGAGCTCACGAGCGGCGGGACAAAGCTATGTCTGCCGCAGTACTGACGACAGATACACCCACCTGTGGATCCAACAAGTAAGTTACGACTAAGTAGTAGTGGTAAGATGTTAATGCTCCTCGGGGTGGATGATATCACTGTATATTGAATATTTCATTAAACACATACATTAGAGGCTGTATCAATTCACTGTAATATTTAACAAGACAATATTCATACAAAATATATGCCATTTTGCAAGAAATACATTTTTGGTAATTTATAAACACTATACTTCTGGTTGTATAAATTATTTTCAGCATCGTGACAATTTGTTCAAATTAAAGCCTACTAATTGCATGCAAATGTAGCATACACTGACTTGTAGTTAGCCTCCCACTGTTCTTTAGCTAAGGCAGACAAGAGCAGTGCATTTGTCATGTGCCGTGGTCTCCCTCTGCTGGTGCGTTCACCGACCCGCTCCTTCACTGAGCTATGGGAAAAATCTACAAAAACTGCCTGGAAAAGATTGGGGAAAAGTGAAGCTAAAAACGACAGTTTCTTAGAATGATGTGTTAAGAATAAATCACTCAAATACAAGAGACACAATGGCATTTTTGCAGCTAATTTCCAATCTCTTGCAAGTCAAAAATAAATATTTCATATCGGCTATGCTCGGAAAGTTCAGGACATCCATTTGAATTTTTCAGACGAACATACATTTTTCATGTCTTTCTGCACGTCAGCAGAACTCGGGGAATTCTAAAAACGTACATGTATGGCTTTTACAGCAGAGAGTGCAATGGAAGCCATGACTTATTTACATGTTCATATCAGTGTTGATACAGACCTTTCCTCTCAGGCCTCCCTCACAGTTTAATGGAGTTAATTTTAGCTCATATCTCTAAGAGTAAAAGTTAACCTGACTGCAGCGTTCCTGTGCTGTTACATTTATCGGTGACCGGAGTGTTGTCCAGAGGAAGTCAATAAGTCCTCATCAGGAGACGGTCGTCTGTCTGGACTCGACTAAAGGACTCTAACAAAGTACAGGGTCTGAAGAAACATGCTCCCAGGGTGACTTCCCTCTGTAACCCCCAATGTCATATTCATCACAATACTGTTATATTAAACCACAGTCCCACAGTGAAAGGGCTGCAAACTTAGTTTTTTGCTCTTTTTTGCCATTTATGACATCATATCCACTAAGGGTGTGTTCATGGACAGCTGTGTTCTAAGTTTTTGCTGTGAACTTTCCATGTGGTGCAGCAATTTTATTGGGAATTTCTAGACACTGAGCAGTACTTCGTGCACTAAAGCATCTTAATTAATTTTTGTTATTCAGAAAGAACTAATCCTCAGGCCAAATAACCTAGTAGTCACTCACTATCATAATGGCAAGACGTTATGATTGAATAAAGTGTTAAGTAAATATAAAGCTATGTTTAAGGTGAGGCTGCAGGCTACTATAGTGGAAGAAAACACAAACAAGTTCAACTGGATCTTCCAGTTTTTTTTTTCTTTGTTTTTTTTTACTCAAGATGTTTTTGTGCACACATGACCTTTTTTCAGTGACATGTTCACACCCAGAGCAGGTGAAGTGGACACACTGTGGACTGGTTCATGGTTAGGCATAATGATTTAGGAGTAGAATAAGCAGAGCAGCAGTCTGCCCTCTCCACAAATGCTTTCAAAACATCATCCATAAAGCAGCTTCGAGATACTTCCGCCCACTGTTTATTCTGCCTGGTCCTCTGCCAGCAGATTGAGTCCTATAAATATTTCATATTTGATAAATAAATGAAACAACCTCTTTTCTTACTTGTGGGTAGTGCTCAAAGTTGATACTTACCTCAGAATACACTAGCTTATAATCATGGACCATTATTTAAGTCATTTTCTGAGCTTTGAAGAGAGTTTATTTTTCACACATGGTTCATATAGATTCGATCTCTTTATTGATGTGAAGACAATTTTCAAAAGAACACATTGTTTGTCTGATATTGTAACATCACAGTATGAAGCCACATAAACACGCTTTTTGCCTGCTCTGTTGTCGCAGATGGATGGCATTCTTTCCTCAGAGACATCTTATTCATGTCTGTGGTGACCTCCACCCACTGCTCTCCCCTTATAGTACATTAGTCACATAGGACATGGTCATTTACAGCTGTCTGACTGGTCGAGCTGCTGGCATTCAGCATCATCATCACATGACTGTACAATCTGCACCTCACCTTGGGCCTTTGAAAACACTAACTGTAGGTAGTAGTCAAGTGGTTAAGAAGTGTTTCTGTTTTTACGCACCGAGCCCTGACAGGGCGTAGGGCCTATTGCATTTGCTTGGATGAGCGAATGGGCAACGACGAGCACATGGCCGAATACGAGAGGACGTGGTGCAGCTTCATCCTCTCAGTCTCCCCCGTCGTGAACAGCAGTATCCCAGTAACCCACGCCCAAGGCCTGAGCCATATTTATCACTGCTAAAATGAATGGAAGTCAATGGGAGGTCAGGGGGCGACCCCAACATTCACCAATGACCCCACAGTGATGTGGAAAAGGTCCAGAACTTTCAAAAAATGAATAATATGCTGTTCTAATGTTAATGGATATATTGTTTTTGTTAAAAATATAATTATTTTATTTTTATTTCTTCTGCGCTTTGAGCTCTAATTTGACCCCCTAAACACGTTCAAAAACTCACCAAACTTTGCCAAAAATTCAGAAGTGGTGAAAAATTCAATAAAATATAAGTTGCATACACAGGCATAAAAAAATGGCGACACTGTGCCACCTGGAAAAGTCAAAATACTTTGCGTCTATGGGAGATGTCCCGACGTCAACTTTGTCGTAGAGCCACGGAATTCAGTACACACATTTGTCATGTGAAGACAAACAAAAAATATTATTATGATCACGCCCCTTACAAACCATAAGGGAACCAAACCATCTTGGACTGAAGTTTGAGTCCGCATTTTCACTGACGTTGCGTTTGAACGCACTCCTCTGAAGGCGCTTCACCCACAGGGCTGAAAATCACCGTACATCATCTAGAGAAGTGTGGCATCTAAAGTCATTTTGACTAATTTCAAGATGACATTATTTTCTCCCGTTCACACACGCTTAGTCCAGTCGTGCTGAAATTTGAATCACTAATGCATGATCTCAGCCTGAATGTAATACACTATAAAGAATAAGAAAAATAAACATTATAGCACCTCCTAGCATAGACATAAAACATCAACATTGTCAGATTTGTACCAAATTTGGGAATTACATTCTATGAACGACATATATTACTGACTTGGGGCATTTTTCATGGTTGACCAGCAGGGGGAGCAAAGACATTTAAAAACATTTAAAAGTACACTATGTAATTTTTCTGATGGAGGATGTATCGGCCTAAGCAGCCAAACCGGAAGTCCACTACCTTTGAGTTTGTTTTTGTTTTTTTTGTTTTTCAATCAACACATGCAAAAATTTTGAAAAATGAAAGGGTTAGGTGAGGAGTTATGGTAAGGGTTACGACTAGGGTTAGATTTAAGGTTAGGGTTATGTTTAGGGTTGGGCTTAGCATTAGGGTTTGGGCTAGGGGTTAGAATCGTGGTTGTTTTTTACGGAAATTAAGGTTAGTGTGGGGCACAGCATTTGTGGGCGCGGCGTTTGAGGGCGTGCACTGGGCGAGGGCCTTTCGACGCTGCTTGCGGCTTTAATTAGATATTGCTCCTTTAAAATGTAGGTGTTTACACTCAAACTAAATATGTTTCTATACTATATTATAATGATGCTCCCTCATTATCTTACCCAGAGACTTCTACACCTACTCTGTACACTATGCCCACCACTTGGTTATGTCGCTCCATGTATGCTTTCCCTGCCAGCATCTTACACCCTGCAGTTATGTGCTGGACTGTCTCAGGAGCTTCTTTGCACAGTCTACACCATGGGTCTTGTCTGGTGTGGTAGATCTGGGCCTCTATTGCTCGAGTGCCCAGGGCCTGCTCCTGAGCAGCCAGGATCAGTGCCTCTGTGCTGTCTTTCAGACCAGCCCTCTCAAGCCATTGGTAGGATTTCTTGATATCAGCCACTTCAGTTATGTTCCGGTGGTACGCCCCATGTAGGGGTTTGTCCTGCCATGATGGTCCCTCCAGCACCTCTTCCTCTGGACTCCACTGTCTGAGACATTCTCTGAGCACCTCAACTGTCGGGGCCTTGTCCTAGATGTACTCAAGGAGCTTGGATGTTTCATCCTGGACAGTGGTTCCCACACTCACTAGTCCTCGGCCTCCTTCCTTCCGGCTTGCGTACAGTCTCAGGGTGCTGGATTTGGGATGGAACCCTCCATGCATGGTCAGGAGCTTTCGTGTCTTAACATCTGTGGTCTGTATCTCCTCCTTTGGCCGGCTTACAATTCCTGCAGGGTATCTGATCACTGGCAGGGTGTAGCTGTTGATTCCCTGTGCCTTGTTCTTGCCATTGAGTTGGCTTCTTAGGACTTGTCTCACTCTTTGCAGGTATTTGGCCGTAGCTGCTTTCCTTGTTGCCTCTTCGAGGTTGCCATTTACTTGTGGGATACCAAGGTACTTGTAACTGTCCTCAACATCTGCTATTGTTCCTTCTGGGAGTGAGACCCCCTCTGTCCCTCTCTTTGTCACCATCCTGCTACATTTCTCAAGTCCAAATGACATCCCAATGTCTGTGCTGTAGATCCTTGTGGTGTGGATCAGTGAGTCGATGTCTCGTTCGCTCTTAGCGTACAGCTTGATGTCATCCATGTAGAGGAGGTGACTGATGGTGGCCCCGTTTCTGAGTCGGTATCCATAGCCAGTGCGGTCAATGATTTGGCTGAGAGGGTTCAAACCTATGCAGAACAGTAATGGGGACAGTGAGTATCCTTGGTATATGCCACATTTGATGGACACTTGTGCAAGTGGCTTCCCATTGGCTTCAAGGGTGGTTTTCCACAACCGCATCGAGTTTGCAATGAAGGCCCTTAGAGTCCTGTTGATGCTGTACAGTGCCAAGCACTCAGTGATCCATGTGTGTGGCATTGAGTCATAGGCTTTCTT